TCATAATGTCGAAATTTCATAATGTCGAAATTTACATAGGCTGATATTACCGGTGAAACCGCCAAATCCTAGCCAAAAAAAATTTTCCACATTTTATTTTTGATCTTATTTCACGACAACATTTTTTTTGCCTAGGATTCGGGGACTTTACCAGGAATTTTAGCTTATGTAAATTTTGTCATTCTGGCATTTCGACATTTTGAAAATAAGCCGCGGAAAATATACATACTATGAGTTTTTGTTTTCGGGTCTATTGCACAGACACGAAAACCGTCCGTTTCAGTTAGCATTTTGCCCGACAAGACCCTCGAGGAGCGGACTGTTCTATTCGGTTGATACCGAATACGATTATGAAGAGCAGTTGGATGTGGTGAACGCTTTTCCGGTAAGGCGCTGCGAAATTCTTCGACATTGCTCGATTCTGCGCTACCAACAATCACTTGAACAGCACGCGCTATGAATTCGCGATCTGCAGCCCACATCAGCGGGGTACTTACCTATCAGAATCTAGGAATTTCAAAATCTCGAATTCCAGAATCTCGAAGATTAGAATCTCGAATCTTCATCAACTCGATTTTTCTGAATCTCGAAATTGCCATAGTACGAATCGATTAAAGGGGCTCCGAAACCTGGCCCATGCCCCAGCGTTGAACCAACCTTTTTCGTTTAAGGATCCAATTTTTGCAACAGAGATAGAACAGTGTTTTTCAAGCATTTTTACCATTTCTAAACGTAAAAACTCACAAATTATGATTAAAAAAATACAGAAATTACGGGGTTTTCGACCAAAATGGCCGATGACTCGTTGCAACTTGCACTGTTAAAGGGGCTCGGAAGTCAAAATTCGCGGGCGCAGGCCTTGAAACCACTGGTCAAAAAAAGGAAAAGATTGCCGCCGAAAATGGCCAGAAAATTGATTTCGTTGCGAAAAAACGCAAAATATTTGAGAAAAACCAGAAATGTTTTCGGGGCGAAAACGACTTTTTGAGTGCGCGGCGATTACATGTCGTAATGCCTTATATGACACGCAATCTTTCGATCTCGGTGCTTCTCTGATCAATTTTCATAATTAAAACGACTAGAATCATCAAAATTGCGTGAGGCTTTAAGAAATAACGTCGGAATTTTTAAATTCAAGCGTTTTACCTCCGAAACAGCGTCTAGAAAACATGCGACGCGGTCGCGTTGCGGCCGCATCTGGCTCATTGTCAAGGATCCACGCGCGGGCCCGTGGACCTGGTTTCGGAGTCCGTTTCAGATAGCAGTTTTCGAACGTGTGTTGATACTAGGCTCTCGCATTTGTCAGAAAATTACTACTTTTTTGCAGTCCCATTTGAAAAATCGTGTACAACTTATCCATAACGGCACGATGGAGCTTCTGGATGGCGAGGATGAAGATGTGCAAACGATGATGAAAACGCTAGAAGAAAAACCAGTGGTTCGATTTTGCTGTTTTCTGTAAAACCACATCGACAGTTAGTAGAGACCAGCAGAATTCCTTGGTACTGAACTGTTAGCGGGGGGGATTTTAGCGGGGGGAACCAATTTTTCCCCATTAATTCTCTACAGCTATTTCGAAATATAACCTGTTTTTTACTTAGTAGTTAGTAGCTTTACATAGTTTTCACATATAATAATAATAGTTACAAAAATTTGCCAACGTTTTTGACTCTTTGGTCAAAAAAGGTATGAGAAATGCCCAAAAAGAACAAAGTTTTCGATTTAAATTTTTAAAATTTTTTATATAGCTTCCTGGCAATCAAAGACTATTAAAAACACGATAAAAATACATCATAGATTATCAACAGCCAGGTAGTATAGTTGGAAAAATAAAAAATTGTTTCCTCCCTGCCAACCCCCCCCCTGCTAACAGTCCAGTACCTCCTTATGTGTATTTGATTCTAAGCCACGAAAAAAAACTGATTTCAGCCCGGCGGTGATTTGTTTTTTCGGATCTACGTCTATGGCAAAAGTAAGTGGGTTACGGAAAAGCCGTCCATTCGGTCTTTGTGCGGGGTGGAGAAGGGGCAGGTGGGACCAGGGGCGTAGCTGACCCCAAACTTACATTAGTGAGGGGCAGAGGCTTTTCAGAGGGGGCAGCGAGGAAATTTTCTTTGGAATTTGGAGCGCCGCAGGCGCCAAAAACTTTGCTAAAATAATCACAAAATATTAAAAAATAACTTAAGAAATCAAAAGGGGGACCCTGACGTTGTTTTTTTGTTGGTACCGCCGGTATTTGGGAGGGGGCAGCGTGCGCCCTCTGCCCTCCCTCTCCTACGTGCCTGGGTGGGGCGAATTCGGGTCACTGCGCCTAAATCCGTTTCGCCTAAACCCATTCCGCCTAAAACCCATCTAGCCTACAACCATTTTGCCTAAATTTTTGACCATTTCCATAGCTGAATTTTTGAACAAAAAGTTGGCAATTTTTGAATTTTTTTATAATTGCTTCATACATTTTCAAAGATAGTTCTTGAAATTCTTGGATAAAAGCCATGCAATTACCTTGAAAAAAACGTGATTTTTTTTGCAAGGAATTACTGGAATTATGTGCAGAAAATAATAAAACGCTGCTTTGCATTTCGCAAATGAGTGATTTTTTTGGTAAAAAATGCAGCATTGAACAGGTCAATGATTTAGGCGAAATGGGTTTAGAAGATATGGGTTTTAGGCAAAATGGGCTTGAGGCGAAATTGGTTTTAGGCGAAACGGGTTTTAGGCGATATGAGTTTGGGCGAAACTTCTGCGGCAAAAAAGCTCGAATTCCCGGCCGCGACCTTACTTTTTGCACGAGATTTTAGTGTATCTTTAAAGCTAGGTCTAGGTTAAGGTTATATTGAAGCCAAGTAAGTTAAGCGGAGCGTCGCGTAGCCTCCGAGCGCGAGGTCAAACAAATGCAGACGGCTAAATCGGCAAAATGCTCTATTAATCTTAAAGAGATGAGGACGGCGTCCGTTGAACCCCCCTTGGGGTGGGGAGGGGTTCAACAGATGCAGCGGCGAGAGAGGGCGCCCAGGGGAGAGGCGCAGAGACATTTTCTTTCCCGCGCGTAATCAATTTACTTATGCCGCCCCTACCCCTTTAAGATGAATCCACCTCTCCGGCATTGGTTTCCCCCTATAGAACAAATAGAAAATACAAAGTACAAAACAAAACAGTACCAGTCCAATCTTCAATTGCACTTTTAGAGTACCTCGGGGCGTTCATACTCGAGTACTACGAGGGATGTGTATCTGGACTAATGCGTGTCTCTCTTTGTGAACAGTAACGAATGGAATAAAGAGGCAACACAGAATTGATGAGAAATCAATCGGGCATAGATTCCAAGAGGTAATCTCTCCAAATCTCGAATATCAGACTCTAGAATTTCATAATCACGAATTTTCAGTGTTTCGAAATTTGTATGGGTTTGCATAGTAACTGTTTGGAACGGCGGGAGAAACAGTATTTTCGTTATAACTCTAAAACGACTGCAGCTATGCGTCTGGAAGTCAAGATTGTTGTTACTTAGGGTCTGACACACCTCTGCTCCAATTTTGGGATGTAACACGACGAAATTCCAGAGGGTTCCCTCCTTGGGGACACCCTGTAGCTACCTACGTAGGGCGTAAGCGTGCAATTTCGACAGCTCTAAATGTTGATTCAGACTAGTGATGGGGTTATTCAAATCAAATCTTGACTCAAATCTCAGAGCTCAAATCTGAATATCTGAAGGCAAAAATTTCAATTTCAAATCGGCGGATTTGATTTGAAATCCCGTGGACGAGTTCAAATCAAATCTCGAGGATTTGATTAAGCTTCCGGTTCTTAATCAAATCCTATGGAAATGTTGGCATGCAAAACATAACAAAATCGCTATGGCCGAGCTGGCGCGAGCCAGAAATGACCTTGATTATGCATGCCATCATACAATTAGCATCCGCGTAATGAGCTATTGATTTTTTCGACTCCTTTCAAATCCTCGTTCAAATCTTCAGATTTGAACTCAAACTTCAAAATCCAAATCAAATCGATTTGATTTGAAGTGCTGAAACCTTATTCAAATCAAACCGTCAGATTTGATTAGGCGGATGCAAATTAGATTTGAGATTTGAATAATACCATCACTAATTCAGACTATGGCAATTTCCGGATTCTGGAAATTCGAAATTTTGCAAATTCTCGCTTCCGAAAATCGACATTCTGCTTTTCGAGCTTCTGACAGGTAATCGGGAAATTCCATTCGGGACCAAGCCGAACTTGTGCGGAATTTTTCGCTGATTTCGAATCTATTTTCCAAAGCGTCTGAAGAGCCGCTTTCAAAAGTCAGAGCCATTTTTCTAACAAGCTGGCTCGGAATGATCGATTTTCAATCCCTCTAAAATCTTGTAGAATACTTTCTGGATAAACACTGACGATATGCTGGAAAAAGATGCTGTTTCAAATGAGCTACCTCACGGGCCAGTGGCTCAACATTTTTGTAATTCGTCTAATCTATGTGTGTAAATACTAAGCGGGCAGAAACGGCGAGAAGACCACAATGACATGTGGCGCTTATTGATCCCAAACTGAAGCTGCTACCCCTGAAAAACTCGCGACAGTTTATCGATGGGACAGGACAACAGAAAAAGGAACAAGAGCCGACAATATGAATGGCAAAAAACGAACACCGCGCTCACAACCAGCGACGCACAACATTTTGAGCAGTTATACACATATGAGAACTTGGGGGGGGAGAAATGGAAAGGCACGCACCCGAAAGCGGTGATTAGAAATGGGGAGCAGCGCCAGGGCACAACGAGGAGGATGAGGGTGAGGAGCAGTATTTAGGAGACGGTAAATGCGTGGATGACATGGTCCGAGAATGGGACAATTGGCGGGGGGGGGGGGGCACAATTTAAAGTACACCGGGATAATCAAGTGAGTTTACAACAAAAAATGCGGAGGATCGCCGGGGAATTTTGGACAAAGTTTTGTTGGCGAAGCCGGGGGGCTTTTCCTGCTGCGACCGCCGACGATCATCAGCGGTTCTCCTCCATGTGGATGACGAGCACGTCGCGGGCCTCGAGGAACGCGTCAAAGGCCACTTGCAGGATGTCGGCGTCCTGGAAAAGGAAACGATAAGAAAAACGGATCTGGACTGTTCGAGGGCGGTGGGAGCGGATTTTCAGCGGGGGGAACCACTTTTGTTTTTTCACCTAGACTGTTTGGCGACCTGTTGATGGATATAACGTCTTTTTATCGTTTTTTGGAGTTTTGGATTCCTAGAAAGTTACAAAATTTTTTTTTAATTTTGACCGTTTTTGTGATTTTTAATACATTTTGACCAAAGTCAAAAACTCCACATTTAAAATTTTTTGTATGGTTTTCTTCTCTAAAAACCACGTAAAATGGCTTATATTTTGCTGTAGGGCCGTCGAGAAAAACAGGGAAAAATTTGGTTCCCCCCGCTAACAGTCCAGAACCGAAAAAGCAACGGGCGCTCACCTTATCCTCGAGAAAGTTGTGGATGGCCACGCACGCTTGGTGCACCTAAAATGGGCAAAAGTTCGGAAAATGGACAAACAAAGGATACCTGCGTCACCATGCCGACGTTGCACAGGTGGGTGCGGGCGAAGATGGGCGCGATCAGCTTCTCCATCAACAGCTCGCACATGTCCTCGACGGAGGCCGTCTAAACGTCAAAGTTATTTGCGTCCACGAGCCATCAACTGACCTTCCCGAGCTTCTCCTGCACGTGTAGCGCCTCCTGGTTGATGACGTCCTGGGTCCAGGAGATGATTTTGACGAGGAACTGGTGCATCCCGTTCAGGCGGTCTGGAAATGAGGCATTGACAAGGCTCTCCGACACTTGCGCCGCGGACACTTGCGCCGCGACACATGCGCCGCGACACTTGCGCCCGACACTTGCGCCGCGGACATTTGCGCCGCGACATTTGCGCCGCGACATTTGCGCCGCGGATCGTATATTCATTTAAACTGTCGTGAATTTGGTATTTCGCGCGAATTTTGTATGTAATTACTGTATTTTGCATTAAAAGCTGACAGAAAGTGAGTAACGCCATTTCGGAGCGTTCCTAAAGGCGTCAGGCAAGGTGGGCCGTCGCTTCGGATGGGCTGCCGCTCCACTCTTTCGAAATCGGGGCGCCTGGCCGCTACGCGCGCCTCGGGCGCCCCGATTTCGAAACCCTGTACGAGCTCGCACCCATCCGAAGCGACTAGGCCCCGGGTGGCACGAAGCCTTTTTTTAGTCGCAGAGCGGAAGAAGTAGCAATTACCTGCCCTTCAAATCCAGTGACTCCTAGCGCAAAAACATCTTTCTATCGTTTCTTTAACCAGAATACTCCGCGCGAAAAATTGCATCTTCAAGTAGCTGAAACTCGGTATCGCGGCGCAAGTGTCGCGGCGCAAATGTCAGGCGCAAGTGTCGCGGCGCAAGTGTCGCGGCGCAAGTGTCGGGCGCAAGTGTCGCGGCGCATGTGTCGCGGCGCAAGTGTCGCGGCGCAAGTGTCGCGGCGCATGTGTCGCGGCGCAAGTGTCGCCGGCGCAAGTGTCGCGGCGCAAGTGTCCGCGGCGCAAGTGACGCGGTACCATTGACAACGCAATCGCTGACAGAAAAGGATTTCGGCCAGAATGCCGGCATAACTAGAAAAACTATCTCAAACCGTTTAAAAACGTTTCAACAAAGTCGAAATTTGCGTCAAAAACGGCCATTTTCGGCCGAAATATCGATATTTTTTGTATTATTAATAAAATTTTGTAAAGTTTTTACCTTTAGGGAAAGCAAAAAAAAACGTCTAGAAACAGATCCACTAGTCATGTTTTAAAAATTGGTTACTAAGGATCGCCCCCCCAGGTAATGCCCAGGAATTCGACTGTCGGCATTTTGGTTGTCGGTATTCCGACTGTTTCGACCCGGTCAAAATCGACACCCCTCACATTGTTGCCAGTTGCCGACGCTGCGCGGCAGTCGGTCCGTCGTCCGGGAGCGTCGCGCCACTTCGAGCAGCCTAAAAACAAAAACGTCAATAGGGACAACGTAGCAAACGTACCGATCGTCGATGCGGAACATGAGCGCGCTCAGCACGAACAGATAGCGCTGGACGAGCATCAGGTTGTGGACCACCTAAACACGACACGATCACTGCACGGACACCCCAAGGCGCCGCACCTCAGTGTTCCAGATCTCGCGCAGCAGCGTGCTCGGCGTCCACGACAGCTGCACGGTCGTCGAGACGGTCGGATTCTGGGGGCCGTCGAACTAAAAGAAAGGGCAATAAAACTTAAATATACTTATTATATTCCTAGACAGGGCGATCGCCGAATTTCATAATGTCGAAATGTACGAATAATGTAATTCAAAATTTCGAAATTTACTAAGCTAATTGTTCTGGAACACCCCGAATCATCTGCAAAAAATTTCGGCCTTCTGAATTTCGACATTGTGGTAGCAAATCGGGAAGCACCATTCACTGGCATACCTCAACGCCCATCTTCTCGAAGAAGGAGATTGACGCGAACTCGAGCCTAAAAAACGCTACATAAAACGCGGGGGAGCCTCGGTCGATACCTCATTTGGCTGAAGACGCCCGAGTGGTCGACGCTGTACGGCTCGAAGATGCGGGTCATCCGGTTGTTGAGCTGGCGCAAGGAGACCTCCTCGGCCGGCCGGTACAGCTGGTCCTAAAAAGGGGCACGATTTTGGGACGTCGAAAACCACGCGCGTACCCCGCATACTTTGATGAGCAGCCCGCTGAGGTCGAACTCGGTGCTGAGGAAGACGGCGTTGACGACGCTGAACAAGCGACAATTGAGGAGAAAGACGCTCGACTGCCCCCAGAAAAAATACGGTTCTGGACAGTTGACAGGGGGGACCAACATACCCAGTAATTCCATTTTTATAGCATATTAAATGGTTTTTAGATACAAATAGTTTATCAAAAAAATCATAAAAATTTTGCGCAATTTTGCAAACATTTCCGCGCAAATTTTAGACGGAAAAACCCGCAATGAACCTGCCGATGGCGCAAAATTCTGGGGGCAAAAGTTGAGGTAAATGCTTTCGCATACCACCCTAAAATTGCGCGCCTAAAAATGTGATGATCAAGGGCGTGAAAACCCAACGTCCCTCCTGCATGCCCGCGCCAAACTAAAAGCAAAACTTACGCGTATGCGGCGCCCAGGTCGAACTTCTCGTGGATGTGCTTCAACAGCTGCTCGCTGCGCCCTCGGCAGATCTAAAAACAAGGCCAGTCGCAGCAAAATTTATCGCAAATTACGTTTCGTATGACGCGCGCCGTCTTCGACGAATCGTGCAGGTCCTTCTCGTCAAGGTGCATCGAATCTGCAGAAGAAAGCAATGAAACGCAGCAAAAAAACACGCTCACATGGGGTGGCTCGCACGCCGGCCGCCGTAATTAGCCGCACATACTTCTCGGCCGAGAGGATGGCCTGGTACTCCTTTTCGAACGCCTTCGGGCACATGGCCCGGATGCCGATGAACTTGTCGTTGACCCTGCAAAATGGACGGTAACGGAAAAGGCCGCGTCGGCACCCACACTTGATAGTCGCGAGGCGACTTGACGGCCGTCTTCATCAGCGACATCGAGTTGAGCTGCTTCATCTTGGCGATGGGCCAGATCATGAACTGAAAATAGGCAAATTAGGGTAGGAAAATAAAGACCAGAACAGCTGTTCCCAAAATGGTTTCTAAAAAAATGAAATTTTCGCGTTATCGAGGGGAAAAACATAACTTTTTTGTAAAAGTCTAGAAATGTCTGCTAGCCGAATAGGAAGCGTTTTGAGTGTGTTTTTAGTAAAATACAACTCAACTCAACTCGATCTAGAAAAACCAGCCAAAAACTTTTAAAAGCTCGAAATTTTGCTAAAAAAACGGTCTTATTTGGACGAATTTTTGAAAGTGTCACGTTGAAGAATGGCAAAATATATCGTTTCGAAATATTTACGCTATTTTTAACTGAAAAACTCCATCCTAAGAAAATAGTTACCCCTCCCCCCTCCTATAATGTGGAAGAGACAGCTCGAAACTCCACTGCGAGAACGAGCCGTGTAAGATCAACCTCGAAATGTGGGTCCTCGAGCAGCTGCCCGTGCGTGACCCAGGCCAGCGAGCACAGCGCCCACTGCTCGCGCATCTTGTAGAGGATGTAGTCGAGGATTTCGCGTAGCTAGAAAAAAACGGGATATTTGGAACGACCACGCAACAAAATACCTGTGGACTGACGGCGACGCGGAGCTGCGCCTCGAGCGCGTCCATCAACTTGGTGGAGATGCAGCCGGGCTGGAAAATGGTGCTCTGAGAACGAAGAGAAGAGAAATAATCAAAAAATACCGAAAGTATTTCCACAAGTTAATAGGAAGTATTTCCACAACAAAATTACAAAATTCAGTAAAATAAAACTATATTTTAACTAGGAAAAGTTATCTAAAAAGTTTCAAAAAGTCAAATATTCAGTCAAAAACCGCCATTTTTGGCCAAAAAATCTAGATTTTTTGTATTTTTTACGCTTAGGAATATTAAAAAATCAGTTAAGAAACGCTTCCGTCTTGTCTTTAAACATTCGCAAAAAATATAACAACGAAGTATGCTTAATTTTACAAAAAAAAGCCCCCAAAAAAACCATACCTGATTCAAAATTCCCGATAATTCGGCGCACACCTTGAGCGACGAGGCCTGCCGCGCCATCTCGCAGCTGACGTCGAGCAGCGTCCGCTTCTCGGTCACCCTAAAATGCCATAAGGTGCTCAGAGACGGCGGCTCACAATGGCTTCACGTATTTGGAGATGAACAGCTGCACGCCCTGCGCGAAAATGAAGGGGAAGCGGGGCCCCGACGGGTTGGAGAGGGCTTCTGAAAAGAGGAGTTGCACGCCTCGCTTCTCTCTTTTTTTGCAAATAGTACTAAAAACACTATTAAAACACCTCCTATTAAGTCACCAGACATGTTAGACTTATACCAAAAAAATCCGCCCTCCCCCCATAATGCGAAAGAACCAATATTCCGTCTAGAAAACGGATAACGCCGGCTTTTTATCCGCCGTCTCGAGCGCTTTCGATGCCTAAATTCTAGACGAAAACCCACTTTCAAGTAAAATTTTTACAGCGCCACGCAAGTGTCAGCCGCTCCTTTTGCACCAAAAACCACGTACAAAACGGCTGCCTTTAAGAAAAAAAAACCCGCACCGTGGGTCCTCTGGTAGATGGCGTAGATGTAGAGCAGCGAGCGCTCGAACGTCTCAAAGTGCGAGCGCAACTTTGGGTCCCACGTGATGTTGTGCTAAAATGGAAAATCCTGTCATGGTCCCAGGTTTGCTATCAGAATCTCGAAAATCGGAATCTCTAAAATCAAGACCACAATACACATTTTTTTCAGGCAAGCAGGTGTTGTTTGGCGGCTTCCCAACTTTTCTTAATCGGCAAAAAGTATATATTTTCGAAATTCTGATCTCCGTGATTCCGATTTTCGAGATTCTTCTGGTTTCCCATGGCCACAAGTCAAAGCCTCACGCACGTCTATCCGGTAGCTCCCGTCCTCCGACCAAATGTGCACGTCTTGCGAGCTCCAGCCCTAAAAAACAAAATGTTGTGTGGCGAGAAAACCCCCCACATAAATGATGTGCGCGACGACCACCAATATGCGCTTCTCCTGCTCCTCGAGCGAGAGGGGGCTCAGATCTTGGAAGCTGCTGTTGAGGTCCGTCCTAAAGAGCAACTGAATCTTTCGAACGATACCCGGTGCCCCAAGAAAACCAGGTACTGGACTGTTAGCAGGGGGGGGTAACTAATTGCTAGCAGTAATCCTGCACGGCCCTATAACAAAATATACACGATTTTTATAGCAATTTACACAGTTTTTAGGTAGAAAAATCTCATAAAAAAACTTTAAAAATTCTCGAAAATTTTGGACATTTCGACCAAAATTGTAGCAAAAATTGCCTCAAAACCTCAAAATCTTCCAATTTTCGGTAAAGGTTTAAAAAATACCGTGTGGCGAACGGGGCCGCGAACAGCCGATGCGCAAAGCTGGGCTGCTTCTGCGCGCGCAGCGCCACTGAAAATTGAGCGATTGCGCTGCGACAAGAAAGGTCTTACATTCGTTGTGGCGCACCTGCTCCCATTCGGCCATGCCGGCCGTTTCCGCGTTAGGCTGCGGCATCGCCACCATCGATGCTGGAAAAGGAACGTTGATTCACGCAAGACTAAAAAAACTCGAAGTAAAGCAAGGGCAAACATAGTTTAGTAAGCATACAAAGGGATTGCTAGTAAACTGCTAAATGTCTTCTCCGAGATCTTTCGAACAACTTCTCGACGCTCTAGCTCGGCGCGCATCCATTTTTGAGCCTTAAAAGGGTCGACGCGCGGTAGAGCTCCGTGAGACCTATCAAACCATCGATCAAGCTCTTAATTTTGGCATGACTGCCGTTTCATAGCATTTTGTTTTAATTTTAAGATTTTGTGACAGGACTTATCTTCCAACCTAATAGATAAGTGCTGTCCTCCCACTGCTAAACTTAAAAAAGGCAGTAACGGCAAGCCGACTCCCGGGAAATCTTCATAAATATGACGAGCCAATAGAAACGTCCAACGAGATTCCAAAACTGCCAGTAACTTTTTTGAATTTTGACGAGCAACAGGCAACTCGACTTCAAAATTTGCACTGCTCGAAAACGGGGCACTCTCTAGCTAAGAATGTTTGGAAAAGCAGTACACCAGGAAATGTGTGATTTTCTATCCAAAGTGATTTTTTAAACGCAAAGAACTCCCAAATTTTTGCAAAAACCACGGCTCGGGGTTCAAAGGCGCCCGGCCCTTCTGAAACAATTTAGCCGACGTTATGGGCATTGGAGCCCTTTGGTGTTGGGCGCCGAATCAAACCCGCAAAGAGATCCCCCCTGGCCAGGGGGAAGCGCGGCCGGTGGTGGCATTGGGCTTCAAAAGCCGTGTTGAACTGCGCCGCCACGAACGTCTCGCAAGTAGACGCCGGCTAATCAACCGATCTCGCCTGACTGTGTTGTGAAAAACTTGTGTTTGACAAAGATTTTTATGCACAACGAAATTATCAACATCATGAAACAGGCCTCCCGGCGCGGGGGCTATTCGCCAGAAAAGGGAGCTGGCGGGGAGGCATGTGATAACCGTAAACGGAAACAAGATCAACTTTAGTTTCTTAACCGGAACAATTTTTGCGAGGGGAGAAATTTGGGGGGGGGGGGGTGCACATTTTCAACAAAACGAATAATTTAGGGGTGTGGGAGGACGTGAAATAGAGGTAAATTGAAAAACAAGAGCACGGTTTCACGGGTTGACCATCAGACGTGGGGCGATGCCCATGCTCATCAGCTCCTGGAAGAGCAGCTTGCAGGCGTAGGGGATACGGATCGTCGAGACTTGCGTCTTGTTGCGGCACGCCTGGAATGGAGATTGGTTACGCAGGCGAGAAAATAGACCAACCTTGCACTCAAAGCTGCCAACGCGCATGTTGGCGATGACGAACAAGCCGCAGTTGTTGCACACGTAGACGTGGTACGGGTCAGAGACCTGCAAATCAAGAAGTTTTTATCACCCTCCAAAAACCGCCCTCACCTCGAACAGGCGCTCTCGCAGGAATTGGGCGCAACCGTGGGAAATTTGACAATCTCGCTCCATTTCACCGAAGCGCAGCCCGCCGTCCCTGAAAAGAAAATGTATGGAGAATGGGGCGGGTTACCTGGCACGACCCTCCATCGGCTGCCTGTTCATCATCTGGATGGGGCCCCGAGCCCGGGAGTGGATCTTGTCGTCGACCATGTGCTTCAGTCGCTGATAGTACGTGGGGCCAAGGAAGATCTGCAAAAAGTGAGTTGAATGCAGTCCTACAAAACTCGGCACCTGCGTCGTCAACTTGATGCCCGTGTGGCCGTTGTACATGATCTCGTTGCCCCGTAGGTAGTAGCCGTACTCGGACAGCAGCGTCGAGATGCCCTTCACGTTGACGTTGTCGTTGAACGGCGTCGCGTCACCGATTTCGCCCTTGTTGGCCGACAGCTGCAAAGAATTTGGAATTCCGAAAACTGCGGGAACGTTTACCTTTCCCTGCAAGCACTCGATCAAGTGACCGATTGTCATGCGGGATGGCACGGCGTGCGGATTGATGATGATGTCGGGGGTGATTCCCTCGGCCGTGAAGGGCATGTCCTCCTGAAAAAAGGTTTTATTAGGCCGAAATAGTAAACTTTTACCTGTCGGTACATGATCCCCATGGTACCCTTCTGCCCGTGGCGCGAGGCAAACTTGTCACCAATCTGCGGGAAGCGCACGGAGCGCACACGGATTTTGACGAATTTGCTGCCTTCCGAGTTGAGCGTGAGCATCACCTAAGTCAAGAATCACTAAGCAGAACAGAAACCAAACCTGGTCGACAATGCCGGTCTCCGACGAGCGCAGGAACGTGGACGCGTCTCGCTTCGTGTATTTCTTGGCTTGATCGTCGAGATCGTCGTCGGTTTCCGGTAGTTGCACAGTCTTGCCGATAACGACATCGTCACCGGAAACACGCATGCCCGGCGAGATGATGCCGTCCTCGTCCAACTAAAAAAAACAAGAAATGAAGTATGGTGCACGCCGGCGTACCTTGTCGTACAGCGAATGCCGCATCCCCGAGCACTTATCACGCGACGGCTTCTCGATCAACTCGGTCTGGGCGTTGGCTGAGTCGATGTTCGCCTCCTGGTCACGGTAGGAGCGGTAGAAGACCTAAACATATAAAAATAGATAAAATCACGAGACAACCTACCGATCTAAACAATCCACGATCGATGCCTGATGAGTTCATGATGACCGAATCTTCTTGGTTGTAGCCAGAATAAGAAGCGATTGCGACGACAGCATTAATACCGGCCGGTAATTCGTTGAATCTAAAGAATCACGATTTGAATAATTCCCGGCAAACGGACCGCAAATACTCCATGCTTCTCGTGGTCACCAGCGGTTTCTGCGGGTAGTAGAGCACGTGCGCCAACGTATCCATCCGTACGTGGAAATTGGTGGTGAAGACGCCCATGGCTTGTTTACCCATAGCACTCTAAAACTTTCCAAGGTGCCGGAGGGTGCAAGAAATACCTGATATGTGTTTCTGGGCGATTGGTTGTGATCGGGGAACGGAATAATGGAAGCGCACACGCCGAGAATCATGGCTGGGTGAATCTCGCAGTGGGTGTAAGTCTCGCAATAGCTCCCCTTCAGATCTTCCGGCAACATGGCGATCATAGAAGTTTCTAAACGGAAATTTCTTGTCGATTTCGAGACAATTACCTTCTTCCTGCGCGTCGACCAATTCGACAACGCCTCCGCCAACCAAATCCGACCATGTGTATTGCGAGCCCGTGTCGCGCTCCTTCAACTTGTCGATATGGCCCTTCTTCAACGTCATCTGTCGATTCTCGACGATCAGAAGCGGACGGCAGAGACGGCCAGCATCAGTGTAGATCCGGATCTCGCGATCGCGGACGTCCCGCACCATTGAGACCTGAAAAGCGCGATTTTGAAAGGCAGCAGTGTATCAAAACCGGTCAGCATTTTTTGGCGCTTTCGCACAAGTGCTGTAATTCTCACCTCGGACACGATGATGTCCATTTGACGCCGAAGCCGGCGCAGTGTGTCCATCAACTGTTGCGGATCACGATGAATGCCGACCCAGGCGCCGTTGACGAAGATTTTCGTAGAATGGCTGATGGCTGACGGGGCAACCTCTGTAAGCAACGCAATTTGTTTTCAGCACAAGGCACGCAAACCTTCCAAATTTTCCGTCGACCACTCTTCCAAGAATTCGAGAATCGGCTCAGGCGAGGAGCCGACAGAAATGTAGGCCATCAGCGCCAGATTCTTCACCAGTCCCACGGCCTGTCCTTCCGGAGTTTCGGCGGGGCATACCTTTAAAAAGGCTAAATAGAAAAAATGAAGGCTCACCAATCCCCACTGCGTATTGTGAAGCTGACGAGGCTTGGCGAGCTTCCCTTCACGGCCAATCGGCGAATTGGCACGCCGCAAGTGGGAGAGCGTTGCTGTGTATGTCAGACGATTCAACACCTAGAAAACAAGTGATAGTTTGTGAAGCAGAAATGATACCTGTGAGACACCAGCGCGAGACTGGTGGGCCTTTTTCTGGTCGCCCCAATTGCCGGTCGCCAGTGAATAGGAGAGACCTGAAACGAAATGTGATCGGAAAGCGGTCAAGACAAACCTCGTGTGATCGTCGACAACTTCAGGCAAACGTCAATAGGGAAATCGCCGTTCCGGTTGATATACTTTTGAGCCGTCAGGCGCATCTGAAAAAGGCATTGGGGACAGCAATGCAAAATGCTACTTCTTTTAGCAAGTTCTTGAACAGTGCCCGGAAGAGATAGGCGAGCAGCGGACCCGCCAAATCAAGGCGCTTGTTGCCTGAAAAACAGCGTGCGAATTGACAAAAGCCGAATACCAATGTGATCACGATCATCGAGCTCACGTCGTCCCAACGCAGCCAAAAGCAATCGATGGACCATGTATCCGATGAAGTACTGGAAACCGCATGAATTTAGACCCTTCACCATACCGCCTTTCTCGTCTCGCAGTGATTGGCCACTCCAACGTGCGGCAACAGCTCCTTGACGAGAATCTCGCGCGCATACTTGATTCGCTGCTCCTTGGTGACGCCGGGCTTGGCGCCGCGGGAACCGATGAAATTGAGGGCGACGCTTTGTTCCTAAAACGGTTCGCATTTTTACGGGGGCGAAACAAGCACCTGGATGACGAAGGCTTCATCCAAAGACGGCTTGACCATTTCCATCATCTCGGGGTCGTCAAAGTCGTAGATGATGTGCTCGAGAATGTCGCGATCAGAGACGAAGCCCATCGCGCGGAACACGATCATCACCGGGATTTCCTATAGAAGAAAATTTGACGAAAAACACAATTGTTTACCTGTTTGATATAAGGCAAAATGGCGGCGATTTTCTGCCCCATGGCGCTCTTCTTTGCCCCGCCACTGCTCTTCGACAGCATGTTCACCCAAAGCGTAGAGGTCGGACGGCTAAAACAAATTTTTAAAAGGCTTCATTTCCCACCTAGAATTCTCCAGACAGGATCGGCACTCGGTCTTGAACGCGTATTTCGAGTCCTTGACGGAAAAGACGTACACCGTATTGGCAGCCATTTTCTCTTGCGCGATGAGAACCTAAAATACACGTCGAAACAGCCGAATGTCGATATTCACCTTCTCGGAGCCGTTGATGACAAAGTAGCCACCGGGGTCCAGCGGGCACTCGTTCAGCTCGGTAAGGTCACGATCGCTCATGTTGGACAGCATGCAATAGGAAGACCTAAACATCTCGTACAACAATTTTGACGTGATGGATACCTCAACATGATCGGAATCTTGCCCAAGAACGCCTTTTCGTTCTTCGTCTCCGTGGTGACTCCGTCTTGGGTGATACGCTTGGTAATGTCCACGTAGAGCGGCGAAGCATACGTCAGATTACGAAGCCGGGCCTAAACCGAGCGCGTTGTGCTTGAGCTAGCAATGAATACCTCGTTGGGCATCAGCGGCGTGGGAGCGCCGTCCTTCTCCCAATGCGTTGGCTTGGAGAGGTAGATCTGGTCGAACGATAGTGAGAACTTTTTCGGATTCTCGATATCGCCTAAATGTCATTTTTGTCACCAAGATATTAATAACCTGAGAAGTGCTGAGACTCAGTCTGCAACTCGACGGCCGGAGCGTCTTCGACAATCTTCTGCACGTTCATCTGGATGAACTCGTCGAAGGAGTCGAGCTGCTGCCGAACAAGGCCCTTCTCATCGAAGTACGCCGAAATGACGACCCAGCAAGCTTCCTGATAACAACGGCATAAGTATAACGTCGACGGAGGCTCGATTTACCTGCCACTGTTCCGGGCTGATGGGCTCGTCCTCCATCTCGGTGTCGTCCTCCATCGGCTGCTCGTCATCCTCATCTTCGTACATGTTTGAAGATACCTGAAAAAGTTGGATATGATTGCGGCAAAATCGGGTCTGATGCAAGCGAATGACAGCAGTCAAACCAAAACGTTGTACGATTGACTGAAAAGCAACCTTACGGTTTTCCAAACCAGCCACGGCTCTCCCAGCGCGTTTTTAGTGCAAAGGTGGTAACCGACAGGCCAAAAATACGACTATTTTTCTGCAAAAACTTAGCCATTCACGATTTGCTTGAGGAATACGATCAAATGTTAGAATTTGAAACTCACAAAACCACTCAACGGTTTAAAAAGCGCGCTTTTCAGCTCGAAAGTGGTAGTCAGCCGGCCCGAAGTGCCTCTAATTCTTTGCTACAACATTGAGGTCATACAGTTGAGGAAGTGCCTCTAATTCTTGATGATTTCGTTTATAAATACGAAAAAAAATGCTTGAATTTACAATTTTAGCGTTTCAACAACCGTTTACGAAAGCCTTGCTTTCAGGCGGTGCGCCGACGGCCGGCGTACAGAGTACAAACCCGGACCGTACGCGACGCGCCTCGCGACGCGACGCTCCCGTGAGGGGCGAATTTAGGCCTTCGCTCTTTTTAATTCTTTTGGCCGAATTTTACAGTTTTTGCGCGTAAATTGTTCTTTGTTTTGCAAACAGCGCGGTTTATTGCCGAAACCACTTTCCCGCTCGTCAAAACTACCCGAGAAATTCTCACCAACGACGCTTTTCGATATTTTCCTTGGAAATTTTTTGCCGGAGTAGTCCAAATTGTTTTACGCTAAGTTCCTCGTGGTTGTCAGGTTTTTCCTTCCCACATTCGCGGCATTTTTTCTATATGCTTTTACACCCTGTTTCGTTGATTTTAGCTATTTTGGTTTTTACTAAAAGTTTTCTTTCAGGTAAAATGTCGAAGAGAGGACGTGGTGGCTCGTCCGGAGCCAAGTTCCGCATCTCCCTCGCCCTGCCAGTCGGAGCCGTAATGAACTGCGCAGATAACACCGGAGCCAAGAACCTCTTCGTCATCGCCGTCTATGGCATCCGTGGTCGCCTCAACAGACTACCCAGCGCCGCCGTCGGAGACATGTTTGTGTGCTCCGTGAAGAAGGGAAAGCCCGAGTTGAGGAAGAAAGGTATTTTTTTGATGCATATAATTGTTTCGCGGCTCGTCCTTCATGGATTTTTGTACATGGTGTATTTTCAGTTCTGCAAGGAGTCGTCATCAGGCAGCGCAAATCGTTCCGGAGGAAGGATGGCACAGTGATCTACTTTGAAGACAACGCCGGCGTCATCGTCAATAACAAGGGAGAAATGAAGGGATCCGCCATCACTGGACCAGTGGCCAAGGAATGCGCCGACTTGTGGCCCCGTATCGCCGCCAATGCAGGATCTATCGCCTAATTTTTTTGCATCTTGTTATCGGTAACCCCCGAATAAATTGTTCCGCCTATCCAGACTTTGATTTTGTCTTATCCTTGTCGGTTATGGCCGACTATGTACTTGTTGCAATGCTCACGATTGCATTATTTTTCAGAATTTTCATCGTATATTTTATTTTTAGGTATGGCACCCAAGGGTAAAGAAGTAGAGAAGAAGGCCGCCGCCAAGAAGGTCGAGAAGGCCCTCGACGCCAAGAAGAAGGTCGTGAAAGGGCAGAAGGGCAAGGTCCAGAAGAAGGTGCGCACCTCCGTCCATTTCTTCCGGCCGAAGACGCTCAAGCTCGCGAGAGCCCCGAAGTGAGTATTCATTTGTGGGGTGCGTACTTTCGCACGGCGGTGTTCTGGCCATACAGAAAATGGTTTGGAGCTATTGGTGTTAGGTGGGCGTCTTTTTTGAGGCTTGGGCTAAGCTTTAGCTTTGTCTAGAGTTGCTTAGGCTAGGTCCAGTTTGGACTGAACAGAATAGAAATAAAGGATGCCACCCAACAACAACAGCTCCAATTCTTTTATTGGTATTTGATTGAAAATTTATTTATACTTTAGGTATCCCCGCAAGTCGGTTCCCAAGCGCCCGAAGCTTGATGCCTTCGCCATTATCAAGCACCCGCTGACGACTGAATCTGCCATGAAGAAGATCGAAGACAACAACACGCTGGTCTTCATCGTTGATGTCCACTCGAACAAGCCGCAGATCAAGGCAGCCGTCAAGAAGCTCTACAACATCGATGTGCAGAAAGTCAACACACTTATCACGCCTCTACACACAAAGAAGGCCTACGTCAGGCTCGCCTCCGACTACGATGCGTTGGACATTGCTAACAAGATCGGTATCATCTAAGTCTGTTTTTGTTGCCAATAAATTGTTTTGTTTTGATGCAAATCTGTGTGGCATGGTAACACTTGAGCTGCGCTGCGCGGTCGTGGGACGGATATGGGGATGGTTGGTTGCTGTGTCTGTGTGTTGTAGCGATGGTTATTGAGGCGCGGCGGACTAGCACACATATACACACAGACACTTCTATGGTAGGATGGCAGTTTATGTGTATGTACGGCTTGAAGAAACAAACGTCTTTACAAAACAGAAGGCTCTGTCTTTCGTGTAGCGTGATTTAAAGCTTGGACTTTCTGTCCACTTGGGAATAATTGCAGGGGGCAGATAGCGTCGCAAAATCTAAATCAGCGTTTTTACAAGATGATGGATTGCTTCATTGTCAAACACAGTTTATTCACAACAATTTGACGAGAACGGTTTATGGTCCGGCGTCTACTTGCGAGAAGCCCGTGTTGTGTCACAGCCAGATTGGAACGTTGCCTGGAAAGGGCAACATGTGTTCAGAAGCCGGCTAACAAGAATGGCAGTAATTTTCTTTCGGTCTAAAGAAACGTCTTAGTGCCTCAAGTACCGTTTTTTGCGTATTTAACTAGGGGTTTTGTCAACGGGACAGATTAAAAAGTGGATTGTACATCGTAATCCTAGTTTTGCTTTGACAAAGCTGCTGTGAAAAAGCCCGCACATTCATAAAACATTGCCCACAGCGGCAACTCGTAGGGGCATTCCTGATACGAGTACGGCGTCATGTCTTCCCACTGGAAAGCCATGAGGTTCTTAGGCACGAAAAAACAAAAAGGATAACCTCAGCGGTTTGCGTCGCGTTCTTCTCCAACCAGTCGTCGACGGCGCTCAGAATGTCGTCTGGAAGTTGAGTGAGTGAGTGCGTGAGAGAGAAAGAGAGCGACAGAGAGACAGAGAGCGAGACGAAGAGAGAAATACACTAACCGAGCTCCACCTTCGGTCGCCCCTCGCGCAGTCCGTACAGGTCAATCTCGTGCTGCTGCACCGGCGGCCAGCAGTTGCCGAACGGCGGCTGAGGAGGGTCGGCCGGCTGAAATTCAAGAAATGCTCTACACTCATCGAATCTGCCGTCCAAAAGCCCCTGGATTCACCGGAAGCTCGGCGATGATCAGGTCCTTCTTCTCCGGCGGCTCGTACTCCGGCTCGCCCCCGTGCATCGCGTCGTGGAGGGCCGTAATCGCAAAGTCGCTGAAAATGATAGCTGCTTGACTGCCCCTCCGATTCCCAAATGATCTCTGTTAGCCTGCCCCTTCCATTCCCAAATGATCTCTGCTAGCCTGCCCCTTCCATTCCCAAATGATCTCTGCTAGCCTGCCCCTTCCATTCCCAAATGATCTCTGCTAGCCTGCCCCTTCCATTCCCAAATGATCTCTGCTAGCCTGCCCCTTCCATTCCCAAATGATCTCTGCTAGCCTGTCCCCCCAGTTCCCCAACTACCATGCCGTCGCCACAAAATCCCGGGCGAGCTGGTCGGCGGGCAGCTCTTGCATCTCGAAGCTACGATCGCCGGCGGTCTGCAAAACCCTCATTTCCATTTTTTCCTAACGTAATCGGTTGCAGACGCGGCGGCGCGAAATTTTTGGTGATCATCTACAAAACCTGCGTAATTAGCCAACCTGGCCGGCGACCCAATCGCGCAGCACCTGCACGACGTCCTCGATGGCCATCAGACGGTCTAGCCGGATCGATTGAGTATCGCCTGGAATGTGATGAGAGAGAGGCAGCGAAAGCGAGAGAGAGAGAGAGAGAGAGAGAGAGAGAGAGAGAGAGAGAGAGAGGGATAGAGGGAGGGAGAGCTGCTCACGCTTGAGGTGCAGATCCCGAGCATCCTTCATCCAGTGCAAAAAGTCGGTGAACATCTGCAGCTGGCAGGCCGGCACCATGATGATGTTGTTCCAGCAGTTGTGGCAGAATCTGAAACGTATCGAAGTCGAAATTTCTCTAAACGATCTGCTAGCCTGCCCCCAATTCCCTAAGCAGCTCCGCCAGCCTGCCCACTTTGCCAGCGTGATGCACGTGTTGCTGATGTCGTTGACGGCCGACGGGTCCCAGTAGACGACCTGCGTCTTCACGCCGTCGACTAAAAAATTTGAGCTTGTCAGGGAACGACGCCACTCACAGCGTTCGCCGTCGAGCGAGATGTCGGCGGTGCCGTTGCGGCCGATCAGCACCAGTTGCTCTACCTCGGCGCCCTTCTCGAAGACGCGCGCCCAGATCTAGAGGAGGTATGAAAGCGAATTTCCGCTGGGTACCTGACGCGGCGCGGGTCCGCAGCGCTCCGGCGAGCCGACTGCGATCGCCCACCGCATCTGGCCCATCGTCGTCTTCATCGTGGTGTCCATCCAGATGAGCTGGTGGAGCAGCGTCTGGCGTGCTTCACGTCGGTGAACACCGTCGCGACGCCTGAAAAAGAGGGGATGATGGGGCAGGCTAGCAGAGATCAGTTGGGAATGGAAGGCGCATGCTAGCAAAGATCTTCGCGGAAAATTCTGCCACCTTCCCATCAACTCCTTCTGGGTGTTGCTCAGCGGGTTGGGCCGCTGAACGGGGCCATCGACGCTCTGCTGCGGGGGCGCTGGCGCGAGCATCCAGTCACGCGGCGGCCGGGGCGGCATCGAGTCGGTCGGCGGCGGAGGGGCAGGCTGGAGCGGTAAGTGCGAAAATTTACCCCCAACTACTAGGCCTGGACAGCTACACGACGCTCCAAATGACCCCTGTCAGCCTTACGTATTGCCGATGCTGGTGGTACTGTGGAGTCGGAGCGGGCGGAGCCGGGGCCCTCAGCTCCTCCTTCTTCTTGCTCTCCTCCTTTCCAGTTGGCTTGGCGGCGGGCTTGGCCGGGTGGGGCTCAGATTTTGGCGCCCGTTTCTCCTCCTTCACCGACGTTGGCGGCTCGGCGGGCGGCTTCGCGGGCTCGGCTTTGGGCTTGACCGGCTTGCCCCTCGGCTTGGAGGGATTTGGGCTGGAAATGAGAAATGATCTCTGCTAGCCTGTCCCTTCTCCCAAATGATCTCTGCTAGCCTGCCCCTTCCATTCCCAAATGATCTCTGCTAGCCTGTCCCTTCCATTCCCAAATGATCTCTGCTAGCCTGCCCCGTCCATTCCCAAATGATCTCTGCTAGCCTGTCCCTTCCATTCCCAAATGATCTCTGCTAGCCTGCCCCTTCCATTCCCAAATGATCTCTGCTAGCCTGTCCCTTCCATTCCCAAATGATCTCTGCTAGCCTGCCCCGTCCATTCCCAAATGATCTCTGCTAGCCTTCCCCTTCCATTCACAAATGATCTCTGCTAGCCTGCCCCTTCCATTCCCAAATGATCTCTGCTAGCCTTCCCCTTCCTTTCCCAAATGATCTCTGCTAGCCTTCCCCTTCCATTCACAAATGATCTCTGCTGGCCTGCCCCTACCGTTTCTGCGCGTTCCCGGCGTTTTTCGGGGCGGCCGACGGCGGCGGTTTGTCAGTAGTATTATGCCGCTTCCTTGCCATTGATGAGTCTGAAAACGGGACATTAAAGGGCTAAATTTGCTTATACGGTCACCTACTCAAAACCTAACTTTTGATATGTCAGAATGCCCAGCAGGACGAGCTGGTGTCCGTCAAAATAACTTGGCGGGAAAAGCTCTATCTCGAGATATAATAAAAGGAAAGCAACAAAATGGCGAAATATTGAGTGCGGCAGTAGTACGAAAAGCAACAAAAGACGGTACGAATCCCCGAGGAAAATTCGGAAACCTACTTAAGTGATCAAAAGCGCGTTTTTGAACCCGCATTTACTTTTTTCGCACTTTCTTTTTGCTTTCTGGGCATGGTCAGGCAAGGTGGGCCGTCGCTTCGGATGGGCTGCCGCTCCACTCTTCCGGAATGGGGGCGCCCCCGGCCGCTGCGCCGGCCTTGGCGCCCCCATTTCGGAACCCGGTACGAGCTCGCGCCCATCCGAAGCGACTAGGCCCTGGGTGGCACGAAGCCTTTTTTCTAGGCTTAAACTGGGTGTGCTCAGTAAAGCTAAGCCTGAATCGAAGCGTTATTGATCTTATCCATCAGCGAAAACCGATTTTTCGCAGTCAGATATTGAACTACGAAGTCGTGTATCTCGAGATAGCGCTTTGACCGCCAAGTTTTTTTCCACGGATCTCTTATCAGCTCGTCCTGCTGGATATTTTGACATATCAAAAGTTTGGTTTTGAGTAGGTGACCGGATACGACACTAGCCAACTTCGAAGTCGTGTATCTCGAGATTGAGCTTTTGCCGCCAAGTTTTCTCAACGGGTCTTGCACCAGCACGTCCTGCTGAGCATTTTGACATATCAAAAGTTGGGTTTTGAGTAGGTGACCGTATAAGCAAATTTAGCCCATTAAAGGAGCAGGAAAGTCAGAACTCTATAAACGAAGCGTGCCAAGCGGCGCATTAATAGTCTGAAACCCCAAAAACGCGCACCAATCTATCGCATCGAATAGCAAAAAGTCGAGGTGGTCGAGGGACGATAAAAAATGTGAGAACAATTTTTGGGGGACGCTTTCCGCTTAGGAGCGCCGCCGACAATTCCGGTACGGTATGCAAATCATGAAAAATTGGCCATGGTCTTAGCCGGGCTCGTGTTTGGTCGGGTTTCGTAAATGGTCTCCGCTGGCCTTGGTATTCCTCAAGGATTTATGCTAATTGGCCCGGGTTCTGTATGGACAAGGCCTCAAATGGAATTTGCTAGCCTATCCCGCTCCCGGCTATGTTCCTCAGTTTCTCTCTGTCTGTCTGACTGTCTGTCTGTCTCTCTCCCCCTCTCTCACTCTGTCTCTCTCTCTCGCGCTCTCTCTGCCGCTCGCTCTCTCTCGCTTCTGGCGAGCAGGGATCATTGGAGAAAGCAAACGTTCACAGGGAATGCTAGCAGAGATAATTTTAGTTTTACACGACAAGCAGCGATCTTCTAATACTGACATTAAAGGGCCTCTGAAGCGCGAAATTCGACCCCTTCGATCGGCTAGGTCTCGACGGCTTGATAATGCCGTTCCTCCGCCTTGTAAAATAACAGTTATGTCAAGCTACAGAGCTGTCGAGTACGCACGCGCAGCCCCAAAAAGGAACCGGTTCCGCGTCCTCCTCGGTTGTTTATGCCCTCCGCTTGCCTCAACCGCCCACCTCACAGATTCCATTCCTGTTGGCGCCTCGCCAAGATTGTGTTTTAGACAACTTGGTCGGGGTATTTTCAAAGCTTCGATATTTCGTAACTTTGAACTTCATGATTTTTAAATCTAGAAAGGCCTAGTAACTTGTAAGTACAGGGTGTCCTAATAAAAAAACACCCCCTCAACTCGACGGGCAAGGGTCCAATCGCGACGATTTTTACACCATTCGAAAGCCCTTGAAACGGCGAATTTGCAAAAATCTCGAAAAACATATTTTTTATTGGAATGTTCTATTTTACAAGCAATTTTGTAAAATTGTGCTGTTCTCCTAGGCTGCATACGAGCTAATTTCCCTCAATTCCGGCAAGCAAAATGGCCGAAAGTACCGGTAGTTAGATGCAAAGGCCGTTTCTTAATGTTTTTAAATACTTTGTAAAATTGCTGGTTAAGATAAAAATAGGTTAGGACATTGATGCAAACTGGCCATTGCAGGGGCTTTCGAATGGTGCTACTATCGTTCCGCTCCGATACTTCTGCGTCGAGTTAAAGGGCTGCCGACGGCATGTGTCGATCCCCCCTCATCAACAAATTGGCAAGTAGCCAACAGGGGAGAGAGCGCGCCCTGGGGAGAGGTGCAGAGACATTTTCTTTTCCGTGCGTAATCGATTGGCTATGCCGTCGGCATCCCTTTAAAGGAGGGTGTTTTTTCTTCGGACACTCTGTATTTTCATCACGTTTTTAGTAATATAAAACTATGTTTTAACTAGAAATACAATCGAAAAGCTTTGAAAAAACTTTCAAAATTAGAAGGTTTGGTCAAAAAACAGCCATTTTTGGTCGAAATCCCGATATTTTTTGTATTTTTTTGCCAAAAATTTGTAAAGTTTTCCTGTTGAAGCATAGTAAAAAAACAGTTTAGAAACACTTCCCCTATTTTTATTTGAAAAATTGGATCATAAGGCAACCTTTCCCCCCTGATAATGCGAAAGAACCCTCTCTCTACCCTAGCTCTCTGCAGTCTATAGGCTTGCCATTATCTATCCCAGTCTCTGCCCTCTCCACACTCTATCTCTGTCTCTCTCCCCTCCGCACTCTCTCCACTCTCTCGCCCTCCTTTCAACTGCTCCATTTTATCGATCGGCTAGCTGGCCACCACCACCAGTCCCCCCAGCTAGCCGCAAGAACTGACCCACCCTACATTAGTCGTTTTTTTGGCGTCCGCATTCCGACCGACACCACTTAACGCAAATTTTGGCCTGTTAAAGGGCCGCTGAAGGAACGATTTTACTTAGTTTATAGTATAGATTTTTTTACATATCGTGTTAAACCTTTTGGACTTAGGAATTGAGACGCGTTTTTATGATTATTTTTGAGGGTTTTCGACGTGTTTTTACGCGTCGCGTAGCTGTCTAGCCCTAGTTGATCGGCGGATCGAGTTTGCGATTTTCGCCCTCTTAAAGGCGCTAATTTTCGGCGTTTCTAGCTGCAAATTTGGCCAATTTTGGGCGGGCACACCCGAGTAGACCCTACCGCCTCGGCTAGGCATGCTAATTTCTTGGGCTCGAAGCAAGCAATACTCCACGTTTTGCCTGGTAAAAGTTTCATCATTTTTTACATTATTTTAGGCTGAAATTAAAGTTCTTAGTAGATTTTTTGGAGCTCTATCGAATCACATTTCCAAAATGCCGAAAAATAACGAAAATATCGAATTAAAAACAGCTTTTTCAGACATGATTTTCAACGGTTCTTTTTGCTTATGATCTAACTTTTTTAATTTTTGCATATGCTATAACTTTTTTATATGACAGGATTTTGAGCTATGATTAAAACTATGAAAAACTCGGAAAAATAGCGGAATTTTGGAAAATTTTGGGAGAAAAACTTTCTTTTTTCGCTCAAATCGATTTCACGTTTTTCGCGACGAAATAAATTTACTGATACTCGTGGGATTTGAATTCTTGGGTCCTTTAAGGGAAATTGGAAGCGAGCCAAGTGGGGGGCAGTGTTTGTGTGTGTGTGTGTGTCACTGGTTCGTCCCATTCCACTGCATTCCCAACAGCAAACATCCCCCATCCCGCGCCTCGATTCTCATCGATTTGTTCCCCTTCCTCCTCCCTTTCTTTCCATTCGATCACTTCCCGCCTTCTCGCAAACTGCAAAAACAACATAGAAAAATCGCTGAGTTTTGCTAATATCCAGCATTATCGCAATTTATACTTATCACCAGTTTTCCGGATTTTTTTTCATAATGTCTTCATCTCACTTTTAATAGAAATTAATGCAAAAATCCAAAAATGTTGGTTGGTTTTTACCCCAATTCCGACTTGTTAAAAAGATTTTCGAAGTTTTTAGCGATGTTTTCGTTCTATTATAGTTTATTTTACTAAAAACGTTATGAAAATGCTTCCTATTAAGTTACTAGCCATTTGGTTAATGCCCCCCCCGATAATGTGAAAGAACCCCAAAAATAGATTTTCAATTCAGTCAGTGGAACTATAGATGTATTTTTATCTTGTATTTTCGTCCTTCTTCTTTATTATTTTCTTCTAGTTTTCATTTTACTGAAAATCATGATTGAAATAGCTTTTTTAACCTGTGATGCGATCGAGAATCGACCGATCCCAAATTTGAGCGCTTATCAATTTTGCGAGGGTTCCGGGCTGGTGGGGGCGCTAGTTGACACCCCCACGCCGCCCTCAAAAATTGCCCCTTTTACGATTCGACATTAGAATGTTTATTAAAACACGCAAACGTGGTGCTTGGACCTCAAAAAAATAGTTTTAAGCGATAAACGTCGGAAAAATGAGTATGGTAAGACTTTACTTGACCCCCTCAAAGTTTTCGGCATTTTCGCTTATCTTGTCGGGATTTTTCCACGCCATCCGATAGAGCGTCAAAAACAATACTAAGAGTTTTAATTTGAGCCTATAATAATGTAAAATAAAAAAGTTATAGCCAAAAAATTCCGGCGGCTGGTAAAGTAAAGTTTAGCCTAATTATATCTCGCTAATTTAACTGCTTATTAACTGACATTATTTGTGGTTATTAATCTCTTCTTAGTACTTTTAAATTAGTTTAATGTTTATTGACCTAATCAATCTTATTGAACTTAATCGAGATTCCGAAATTTATACCCCCCGATTTTTTGGGGCATTTTTCTTGATTTTTCATCTCCTGTTTGGTTGAAAATAAGTCTTATTACTAAAATAATCCGACTTAACCGTGACGGCAAATTGACCTAGATGCTAATTCGCTCCAAAAAAATTATTCTTAAATGTTCACGTTATATTCTGAAAAAATAAAGCTTAAACTTATGCTTTCCGTAAATTTTCACCCCACAAAATGTCGCGTGCAATTTTTTGATTTTTTTGGGAATTTTTAAGGTCGTTCTTATTATTTGTGTAAATTTTAATTTTTACAAAATTCCAGATGCAAGCTGGCGCCTAAAAAGAAGAGCGCCGATAAAGTGAGGGGGCCGTCGGGTGGGCAGCATCAGCCCCCGACGGCCACCCCCGTCACCATGGGATCTATATTCCAAGAGGGAGGATATTTGCAGCTGCGTCGAATACAACCACAGAAGATACACGGAGCACCCGATGTCTATTGCCAGAAACCGCAGAATTTATTATGGTGGGTACAGCTTACAAAATAGTTATATAAGTCCCGAGAAGCCTAAGCATAAGCACCCTAAGCATAAACTCCTTAAGCCTAAGCTTAATCCAAAGCCTAAGCCCAAGCCTCGGTCTAAGCCTAAGCCTACGAAAGGCCTAAACCAAAAAATATCTGTAGCCCTGTTGCTTTCCCTAGGATACCTAGAGACCAAAGCCCAAAACTTTGGCCACGACGTTGCTCCGGGATTCGGCCAAAATTTATAAGCAAAGGATTCCCTGGAATTCTTTCAGTCTTCAAGTTTTTTGTTGCCGCCCTTGGAATAGCCAGCCGTTTGAAACTTGAATCCCAAATGATCTCTGCTAGCCTGCCCCTTTTATTCCAAAATCCAGAAAAAAATAACAGATAACAAAAACCTATGGGCTAGTCGTCAAATAGGAGATTGCGCGCGCAGGCCGATGATCTGCTGGGAGCCATGGCAACCGTAATTTCCGCCCGCGGTGTCAGGAGGGAATCGCTCGTAGCGGGGGTCTGAAGATTCGGGCGACGACCGTCGCGTGGCTGCCTCGACCTAGTCCTTTCAGGCGTCGATTGTAGCGCATTAAAACACATCTAACTCTCAGTTTTCAGCCTGACCGAGGTGACAAAGTTCGGGCGGAATCCAGAGATGGTCAACGTCGTCCTGAGCAATGATATCATGTAGGTTTTTGAGCGAGAGAGCCAAAGCGTGTGATAGGCGGGGGAGGAGAGAGAGAGAGGAGAGAGAGAGAGAGAGAGAAAGAGAGAGAGAGAGGAGAGAGAGAGAGAGAGAGAGAGAGGGAGAGAGGGAGGACGACAGGGAAATTTTTTCTTTTCTTTCTTTTCAAAAAGGCTTCTTTTGCCGTTATTAACCATTTATATTCCTTTATCGCTGCTTTAAATTCAATCATCTCGTTATAGGATTTATTTATCTATTTAATCGATCTATTTTCGTATTAGATAAAATTCATACAAAATTAATATGGTTTTTCCCACAAGTCCGGTAAACCTTTATAACCTGATAATAGAGTTTTTGTGTTTTTAGTAAAATTTAACGATATTTTAAGCTGAAAAAACCATTAAAAAAAGACCGTAAGATTTTTTCGGTGAAATCAAATATATCCAATTTTCGGTCCAAAATCGGCCATTTTTGACAAAAAAAATCGCTATTTTTGCATGTTTGGCGCAAATTTGTAAAGTTTTGTTCGTGTGAAAGAGTAAAAAAGGGTGTAAAAGCCCTTCCGGATATCAGAAAAATTGGCTCTTTAGCAAAAAAGAGTTAATGCACTCATTTCAGCGAAGATCCAAATCGTCGACCTCCTCCCCCACCTCCAGCCGCCCAATCGATACTGGGTGGAAATCAGGAGACCAGGTGCGTGGTTCGAGGCAGGCAGATGTTTTTCAAATTTGTTATTACGTGAGATAAGGGCCGCGCAGCTGTTTCTTGAGCATTAATGATGATAGGGGCAGCCATAGAAGTTCACGCGATACATCTATTCCCCCTTTCCTTCCACATATTCCCGTCTCTCGTTTATTCCCGCTTTACATTCCAATTATGGACGGGGAGCAGCAGCTCAAACTTTTGGAGAAACACATCGCCGCCGCTGTCTACAGGTATTTTTGCTTTGATTTGGCGCCCAGACCTTCACGACCTAGCTTCACCAAACCAGGCTAGCAGGGATTTTTTGAGAACGTTTGACGTCAAAATCATTTGGTCGAAGCCGGGCGGCCTAGCAAGGATAATTGCAGAACGGTATAAACGGTACTGGGCTGTTAGCGGGGGGATTTTAGCAGCGAGCAAATGGTTTTTGTTTTCCGCCTAGCGGATCCTATCCTATAAGCGAGAAAAGTATGTTTGTTTTCTGTGCAGCCGATTTCTAGGCCGTCAGGCCGAATTCCGCGCTGATTTTTGGCATGGAGGTGGAGAAACACATCCTCTTTATAGGCATTTTTTTGTTTTTCGAAATTCCTTAATTTAGCGATTTTACAAGAAAAATAGTGTAAAACCCTTAACATTTTGGCCAAAAAAAGGTTTGTACAGAGGATATCTCGCGATCTAAATGGAATTGGGCGCTAATTTTTGGAACATAGTAGATTGAAAATTGAATTCTCCCGATATATAATTCTGCGTTTTGTCAGATTTTGTAAAATACAGTTTTTATGAGCATTTCTCTAAAAAGTCCTTAATAAAGTAGGCCAAGAGCCGTGGTGTCCGGGCCATAACTCGAAGCTCCGATGGAATTTCGGGCTGAAATTTGGACCACTTATGTATTCGATGGTGGGGATCACGCGCCTCTTCCTCTCTTTGCGAATTTTCAGCTGATTCAGGGTCAAAAACCGAATTTTGTAAAGTGACCAGTAGGCCCCCCTCCGGGATCATTGGGTCGCCCTTTTCTTTGCCTTCCCCGGCCCCCTTTCCCCAGGACAGAAGAGGGCTTTCCCGCTGCCGCTTCCCAACTGTCCCATAGTGTAGTGGATTTGCGCCCGGTCTACCATGCGCATGGTCGTGGTCTCGGATCCTGGGAGAATTTAGTTTTTTGCTTTTTGGTAGTTCAGCAACAAAACATATTTCTAGGCTCTCGGTGTGCATGGTTTAAGCCTGGCTCTCTCTCTCGCTCTAGCGCCGCAGGCTAAAGAGAAGGTCCTTGGCCCAGGCTTTTGCGCCGCAGGCTAATGATGGGTCTTTGATCTAGGCTCTTGCGCCGCAGGCCAAATCCGGGAGAAAAAAGCAGTAACTAGCGCTGCAGGCAAAAAAATTCTAGCGCGAGGTTTAGGCCTGGCTCTCGCTCTAGCGCCGCAGGCCAAAGAAAAGACCCTTGGCCCAGGCTCTCGCGCCGCAGGCCAAATAATGGCTCCTTGACTCAGGTTCTTGCGCCGCAGGCTAAAAAAAGGATTCCAATTCATCGTTCCTGGACGGGGTCCAGAGCTTTTTCCACTGGTTAACAATAAATAGTGTTTTTTTATCGCTATAAGCAGTTTTTGATTGCTAGAAAGTTTTTAAAGTGTACTTTGAGGCCCTTTTGAAGTCCAAGATTTCGATTTTTTTAGCCATTCTCATAAATTTTTCACCAAGAAGTCAGAAATTTTCGAATGTTCAGATTTTGTTGGAAAACCGGAAATCGAAAAGGTTATGTATGTACCATAAAAATTTACAAAAATGACAGGCGCAAATTAGAGATTGGCTTAGGGTTAGCTTAGGCTTAGCTTAGGCTGGGCTTATGCTTAGCTTAGGCTTAGGCTTAGCTTAGGCTTGGCTTAGGCTTAGCGTAGGCTTGGAATCGGACGCAGACTTGGGTTTGGGCTTGGGCTAGGCTTGGGCTTAGGCTTGGGCTTAGGCTTGGGCTTAGGCTTGGGCTTAGGCTAAGTAGAGACTTAGTTTAGGCTTAGTTAGGCTTTCCCCGGTGACTAACATATATATGTACGTAGGACCGACGCGTAGCCTCCCATCCGCCCACGTCACGAGGCACCAAAAACTTATCACCCCGGGGTGGTAACTTGGAAGCTGAAGGATTTTCTTATCACCTCCCCCATTTTTGGGCCTGGCTTCTGGCAATTTTGGCAAACAGCCAGCGGCCCATTATTTTCTTGCCGTTTCTCAGTCTTGATTTCGCGATTATTCTCTGGGAAGCGTGGGCCAGCTAGCAGCTACCCTCAGATACATCGTGACCCAGCTGCGCGGCTGATTTCCGCTCATTTTCCGACCCGATATGTTTTGCCGGAAGCTCGCCGCCACCAATCTTGCGGAAATTGACCCGTGACCATCGCGCAGGTTGCGCTTCGAAACCCGCTAATTTCCCCCAATTTCCGACATCCGCGCTGCCGTAACCCTGAGCAATATATATAAGCTCAAAATTACTTTTTCTGCCTTGTTCAATTTTAGACCGTTGGGTCTGGTTTTTGACGCTGTTTTATAATCATTTTTTTCAGCAACATGATCAGCCGGACGCATGCCGAGATTCGCGGCTACCGTAACCCGGCGACGGGGAGATTCGATAAATACACCGTTTCCGATCACTCGCTGAATGGAACCTACATTAATGATATGAGGGTGAGTGGAAATAACCGGATTAGAATGCTGGGCAAGCGAGCAGAGATCATTTGGGAATGGAAGGGGCAGGCTAGCAGAGATCATTTGGGAATGGAAGGGGCAGGCTAGCAGAGATCATTTGGGAATGGAAGGGGCAGGCTAGCAGAGATCATTTGGGAATGGAAGGGGCAGGCTAGCAGAGATCATTTGGGAATGGAAGGGGCAGGCTAGCAGAGATAGTTTCGGAGTCTCGACAATGAATTGTCTACTCGAGGCCAATGTTGCTTTTTGTGTCCCCTGAAATCCACGAACACGCTACCGTACCCCGAACGCCACCACGTGTCCTGACGGTGTTTCGCAAAGCCAACCCCGCCAAAAATTAATTTCTAACCCACCAGAAGGCTAGGCACGGAATACAAATCGACACGTCTCTATAAAGTCAGACCAGTCGCTTCGGCTACGCCACATTCCAAACACCGCTACCATATTGTTGGTACCATACACTTCTGTACACTTGCGACGCAATCCGACGCAAAGACTAAAAATGGACGCAAGAAACGTAGGCGGTTAGAAGAGTGTCATTTTATCAAATAATCTCTGCTAGCGTGCCGCTTCCGTTCCCAAATGATCTCGAAAGATAGATAAAGACAGAGCGGCAACCACAGTTCCAATAACCATTTTCCAGATCTCCGGTACCGACCATCCCCTAGCCGTCGGCGACGTCATCAAGTTCGGCCACCTAAATGGTGCTGCCGTCCGCCCCGGCTTCAGTGCACCACAGGCCAACGCCGAGTTTGCCTTCCTCGTCGAGCAGTGAGTAACTAAAAGTTGTCTCTCATACCGTACATGTTCAGCGCCACCGAGAAGCAGTATATGGGGGTGGACGCACAGGGGAGGAGGACGACAATTCTCGGCATCCGGGCTCACGATCCGACCATGATGGAGTTGGGGCCGAATGGGGTTCCGGTCGGAACGACGCCTACTGCCACCACGACGCCTTCGGCTGGTGAGTCAAATCCTAAATGATCTGTTAGCCTGCCCCTTCCATTCCCAAATGATCTCTACTAGCCTGCCCCTTCCATTCCCAAATGATCTCTGCTAGCCTGCCCCTTCCATTCCCAAATGATCTCTGCTAGCCTGCCCATTCCATTCCCAAATGATCTCTGCTAGCCTGCCCCTTCCATTCCCAAATGATCTCTGCTAGCCTGCCCCTTCCATTCCCAAATGATCTCTGCTAGCCTGCCCCTTCCTTTCCCAAATGATCTCTGCTAGCCTGCCCCTTCCTTTCCCAAATGATCTCTGCTAGCCTGCCCCTTCCTTTCCCAAATGATCTCTGCTAGCTTTCCGAACCCACTACATGCAATTTTTATAGTACCCGGCACGTCATTCGCCGCCTGGCCCGCCAACTCTTTCGCCTACACCGGAGCGGCCGCACAAAATTTTGCTGTAAGTTTTTTAGCGAGCTCTCTCTCAATCACTTTCTCTCGCTCTCTCTCTTTCTCTCTCTCTCTCTCTCTCTCTCTCTCTCTCTCGCTCCCTCGCCTTAACACAATCTTTCCAGTTTCCCCCATTCAACTTTGGCGGGCTCAACAACCCGGCGATCCACGCGAATCTCATGCAAATGCTCAGCGCCCGGAATCAGCAGGTAAATTTTTGAACAGTTTTAGTGGGATACTAACATCCCCGGTATCTCAATGAGCTCAAAAATCCTACCGTAGTTGCAGATGGACCCGCAGTGGGCGGCGGCGATGATGCAGCAGCAACTAACGCCCGCCCAAATTCAGGCCGCGCAGAATGCGATCAAAAGCGGCGTGTACACGGTAGGTTTCTCTCTTTCTCTCTCTTTTTCTCTCTTTCTCTCTCTCTCTCTCTCTCTCTCTCTCTCGCTGTCTGGCTCTTTCCATCTACTGTACCATCGCTTTGTAGAGCGTTGCGGCCAGCGTCGCGCACAACACCAATCCGGCAACAAGTCTGGCTCTCGGCGCGATACAGGTGAGAATTCAGGGGCAGGCTAGCAGAGATCATTTGGGAATGGAAGGGGCAGGCTAGCAGAGATCATTTGGGAATGGAAGGGGCAGGCTAGCAGAGATCATTTGGGAATGGAAGGGGCAGGCTAGCAGAGATCATTTGGGAATGGAAGGGGCAGGCTAGCAGAGATCATTTGGGAATGGAAGGGGCAGGCTAGCAGAGATCATTTGGGAATGGAAGGGGCAGGCTAGCAGAGATCATTTGGGAATGGAAGGGGTAGGCTAGCAGAGATCGGTTGAGAATTCAGCAGCCTAACAGCGATAATCTATCAATTTTCAGCCGAACGGTACAGCCCTCTTCCAGCAGCTCTTCCAGCAACAGGCTCTCCACCCTACCGTACTCCAGCAGACCGGCCATCCCGCGGCGAATGCTCCGACCCCCGGCGTAGGTTTTCGACGGCTAGCTAGCAGAAACTATTGGTGGGAATGGCCGTCTAGCAAAGATTCTTGCGGAAAATTTAAAACGTGTGCGTTTCGTTCCGTGAGCAACCGAGACCCATTGAACACGTTCAGAAACGTACCAGTTAAAAATCGCGGCTTGTAGGCGACGAGCAGCACCCCAACAGCAATTGCCGAGGCGGCCGCCGTCAAGTCGGCCGTCGGCTCGCCGCCGATGGAATGTGACAGCAGCGTGCCGTCACCACCAAAACCCACGACGAGACCCGCGGCGGCGCTCAGCCCGAAGAACTCCGACAGGGGCAGTGAGAAGAGCTGGACCATGGTCGACTCGCCGCCCATGCCGAGGTGGGTCGGGTTTATGGATTTAAAGGGACATACAAGACACGCTGGATTGTTTTATATGGATTTTAAAGCAAACCCTCCAGCGAAATTCTGTATAATGCTCAATTTTTCAGAGCTCCCGCCCCCTCCCATGCCAATCGTGAACTCAGCCGAACGCCTCCGCCAAAGCCGGACACACCTGAAGATGTGAAACGAGAGAGGGAAGAGGAGGAGAGAAGGAAAAGAAAAGAGGAACGGGAGAGAGAAGAGAGGGAAGAGAAGGAGAAAGAGGAGGAGAGGAGGAGAAAGAGAGAGAAGGAGGAGAAAGAGGCGAAGGAGCGGAGGACTACGGTGGCCCCGGCGAAGAAGGGACCGAAGGGAGTGAGGAAGGGCAGTGAGGTGAGTACAGAATCTATTTGGGAATGGAAGGGGCATGCTAGCAGAGATCATTTGGGAATAGAAGGGGCAGGCTAGCAGAGATCATTTGGGAATGGAAGGGGCAGGCTAGCAGAGATCATTTGGGAATGGAAGGGGCAGGCTAGCAGAGATCATTTGGGAATGGAAGGGGCAGGCTAGCAGAGATCATTTGGGAATGGAAGGGGCAGGCTAGCAGAGATCATTTGGGAATGGAAGGGGCAGGCTAGCAGAGATCATTTGGGAATGGAAGGGGCAGGCTAGCAGAGATCATTTGGGAATGGAAGGGGCAGGCTAGCAGAGATCATTTGGGAATGGAAGGGGCAGGCTAGCAGAGATCAATTGGGAATGGAAGGGGCAGGCTAGCAGAGATCATTTGGGAATGGAAGGGGCAGGCTAGCAGAGATCATTTGGGAATGGAGGGGCAGGGGAGCAGAAACCATTTGGTGGCTGGGGATCCTTCAAAACGCTAATTTTCAGCTCGGCCGTCTCCTACACGACCTCGAGGGCTCTTTCATGACCTCAGCAAGAGGGTCAGACCTTCGTGAGCAGCGGAAGAGCATCGACGGCCTCAGGAAGGACTCCGAAGAGCCGCGGGAGGAGAAGCCGCGCAAAAAAGAGCCTTCACAGGTCGGTATTTGTTTGTCGTTTATGTCTTCATCTTCTCACCACGATAATCGTGAAAAATTGGACAGACCCTAACTCTTATCGGTTTTTAGGCAAAGGATGAGAGGCCGAAGGAGAAGGAGAAAAAGAAGGAAAAGCCGGCTAGGGTGGGTGCGTCGACCAGCTCGGCACCGCCGGAGAAACCGGCGCCTCCACCGGCCGCGCCGGCGCTAAAACCGACCGCCAGGTGGGGATTTTTAGGTCCTCAAATATTTGCGTAGTTTAATCTTAAAGTGTATACAATTTTTAGCAAGTTGCGTCAACTCTCCGACGTCTCCTCCGTGTCGTCGAGCGATTCTGAAGATGATGTGAAGCGGAAAAAGGCGAAAAAGAAGAGCCCAATCCCGAAAAAAGAGGTGGGAAATGACTAAGATTCCGTTTGAACCATTTATGACCCGCTTGATCTCTACTAGCCTGCCCCTCTCCATTCCCAAATGATCTCTGCTAGCCTGCCCCTTCCATTCCCAAATGATCTCTGCTAGCCTGCCCCTTCCATTCCCAAATGATCTCTGCTAGCCTGCCCCTTCCATTCCCAAATGATCTCTGCTAGCCTGCCCCTTCCATTCCCAAATGATCTCTGCTAGCCTGCCCCTTCCATTCCCAAACGATCTCTGCTAGCCTGTCTAAACCCCTAATTGACTCCCGATTTCCAGGCCAAAAAACGTCAACCCTCGCCGCCGTCAGCAAGTTCGGACTCGGAAACGGATTCGTTGTCCTCACTTGACGAGACTATCGCCAAAGCGAAGATGGCCGTCAGCCAGCCCCCTCCCCGAAAAGCCGCCTATCCGCCGCCGAAGAAGGTGCGCTGTTTTTCTGGGTATAAATCGACTTGGGTGCTTCATTGCTTTATACCTTTCTAGAATAATGTGATACCTTAGCATTTCCGTCAACATCATATCTCTTCCAGACCCAACCACCGCCGAAAAAACGGGGGCGAAAGCCAACGAAAAGCCGTGGCGACTCGTCGGAGGCGCCCTCCGATTCGGATGACGCCGACGAGCCAATGTTCCCGCCAAAGGACCCGTCGGTGGGTTAAGAGGAAAATTATTCAGGGGCTCAAAAGCGATAGAATCAACCCACGTCGGCTGGGTCTAGACAAACACACTCGTGGCCGACCGATCCAATAAATATCTGTGTTTGTAGGTGACCTACCACGACCCGGTGGCCGCCTGCGGCATGGACAAGGAATGCAACAGGCCGCAGACCTTGGAAGTGAACTGGGTAAGTGTTTAGTTCTCTTTCTAACAAACTTTCTCTCTCTCGCCCGATCTCTCTCGCTCGCTCTCTCTCCATCTCTCTCTCCCAATATCTCTCGCTCGCTCTCTCCCGCTCTCTCTCGCTCTCTCTCGCGCTCCCTCTCGCTACCTCGCTACCTCTCTCTCTCTCTCTCTCTCTCTCTCTCTCTCTCTCTCTCTCTCTCACTCTCTCTCTCGTTTCTCTCTCTCGCTATCCTTTTCTGTCTCACTCTCTCGTTCTCTCTCTCTTTCTCTCACTCTCTCTCGTTCTCTCTCTCTCTCTCTCTCTATCTCAAACTATACCCAATTTTGCAGGTTTGCTGCGACGACTGTGACAAGTGGTACCACGCAATTTGCATCCTGGGAAAGGAGGATGTGAGTTTTTGGGCTTTAAAGGGCCCGAGAAGCCTAATGGGGCCGGTAGGCCGACGAGTAATCGACCGCTCCCGTTTTTACCACCCCTTAATTTTTTTGCCTTTTTGGCCTTTTTTCACACAACTTTGATCAGAAAAGTTTTTAGGGAAGTTTTGCTCCTAAAATTTTCATAAAATACCATAAAAATGGTTAAGAGGTTGTTTACAATATTCCCGAGAAAATTTAGCTTCCCCCCGCCAAACGTCCAGTACCAACGCTTTTTTCTAGATCACCGGCCTCGGCGACTTTACCTGCGGCTGCAAAGAAGCAAAAACAAAGCCGAAAAAGAAGAAGATGAGATGACCTACACAGCTTTTCGAAAAAAAACCATCTCTGAAACTCCCTCCAAAAAAATCACAATTTCCCCCCATCGATCTCAATGCGGGCAGACAGCAGCACGCGCTGAGCAGCTGCTGATATTTCTAAAGAATTTTTATCTGACTTTTTTTGCTGCATCACTTCTCCTACTGTACATTTGGCACCGTATTTTCCTGGCGAAAATTTGCACGTTTGTTCTTTTTTAAATGTTTTGCGTTATAAAAGTCTAATTTTTGCATTTACCGAACTCTTCTCGACTCCTCCACCACCTTGCCTTTAGTTGAGCCCAAGCCTAAGCTAAGTCTAAGCTAAGCCTAAGCCTAAGCCTAAGCCAAGCCTAGGCTCAGCCTAAGTTAACCCTAAGCTAAGCCTAAGCTAGGCCTAAGCTAAGCCTAAGCTAAGCCTAAGCTAAGCCTAAGCTAAGCCTAAGCTAAGCCTAAGCTAAGCCTAAGCCAAGCCTAAGCTAAGCCTAAGCTAAGCCTAAGCTAAGCCTCAGCTAAGTCTAAGCTAAGCCTAAGCTAAGGCTAAGCTAAGGCTAAACCAAGCCTAAGCCAAGCCTAAGCTAAGCCTAAGCTAAGCCTAAGCTAAGCCTAAGCCAAGCCTAAACCAAGCCTAAGCCCAAGCTCCTAATACGATTCTCCCTCCCAACCGTATAAAATCGTGCCAAACATCTAATGAATATCTTTGCGTGTTTTTGTTATTTTCCTGGCGCAGCGCCCGGCGAAAATTTGCCCCTAAAAAGCTTTTCAAAATTATGAATTTAAATTGGACTTCGTGAATTTAAAGAAAACGGACATTTAAAAATTCTTCTTAGAAAATCTTCTCAAAGTTGGCATTATTTTAATTAAAATTTCGAAGCAATCAAACGTTATTAACAAGCCCAGATTCAAATTTCGCCACCCGCGCCCCTCCTCAAATCATACCGTAAGTAGCCGTTCGGGTCTGGCTACCGTGTCCCACCGTATCCTACCGTACCACTCCTCCTCCTCCTCCTCAGCCTGTAGATCTGTTTTTGTCATTTTTATTATTTTTATTTTTCGATCTTCACCCTCGCCCCAAAAATTGTTAAAATTTTTCAACCCAAATCTGGCCGTTTTCGCTGGTAGAAACACCGAATAAAAATGTTACAGACGTGATTTTGTTTTTTTTCCAGAAAAGCATCGAGGAAAAGTTGAAAAACAGAGTTCAAGCGAGCTATCAGAGAAAATTTAGGAAAATTGACGCCTAGAGCTCAGGAAGGAGAGAGAGGGGGGGGGGGGGGGGGAGGGGGGGGGGGGAGAGAGAGAGAGAGAGAGAGGGAGGGAGGAGGGGGGGGGGGGGGGGGGAGAGAGAGACAAAGAGAGAGAGAGAGAGAGAGAGAGAGAGAGAGAGCGAGAGAGCGAGAGAGACATCCTAACCATCCGTCCGATTAATGTGTCTTCTTAAATCTCGCAAAAAGTTTATTTGCATTACTAAAGCAGCGACGGAGAGTATCTACACGTGGCGTCGAAAAGAAGTGAAAACTCGACACAAATAAATAGCACAATTGGGGGAGGTGAGGGATTTTGATAAGTGGGCGGGGCTTCGAATTGGGGTACGGTAGGGCGTCGGCGTAAAATAGCATTATATCTTCGGGAATTTTCCACAAATTCAGTGTCGTTTAAAGGGATCTGGCTGGCTGTTTTGGGCTAAAACTCAATGCGTACATGCGTCAAAAAAGCTTTTTCAAAGCCTTTTTTAAGCCTGGTGTTCAGAATGCTGCCTTCGCGGTCCCTTTAAAAAGCCGAAATACCTACAGTACCCTTGAAATTACATTTGGTGACCAATTTAGTAAGGGGATCGATGCACGAAAAGCACAATTTGAGAGCCTGGAGACCGGTTTCGTGGTGGGGAAGTCGGGGTTTGGAAAATATGGAAAATTGGGGAATGAGCAGATGGAAAAGGGTTTTTTTTGAAGCTCATGCTCAAGCGGGCGGCTTAGGCTTAGGCTTTGGCGACGAAGCTGCTCGGGTCATCGATCTGAAATGAGGAAGAGTAGACAAATGATCTCTGCTAGCCTGCCCCTTCCATTCCCAAATGATCTCTGCTAGCCTGCCCCTTCCATTCCCAAATGATCTCTGCTAGCCTGCCCCTTCCATTCCCAAATGATCTCTGCTAGCCTGCCCCTTCCATTCCCAAATGATCTCTGCTAGCCTGCCCCTTCCATTCCCAAATGATCTCTGCTAGCCTGCCCCTTCCATTCCCAAATGATCTCTGCTAGCCTGCCCATTCCATTCCCAAATGATCTCTGCTAGCCTGCCCCTTCCATTCCCAAATGATCTCTGCTATCCTGCCCATTCCATTCCCAAATGATCTCTGCTATCCTGCCCCTTCCATTCCCAAATGATCTCTGCTAGCCTGCCCTTCCATTCCCAAATGATCTCTGCTAGCCTGCCCTTCCATTCCCAAATGATCTCTGCTATCCTGCCCATTCCATTCCCAAATGATCTCTGCTATCCTGCCCCTTCCATTCCCAAATGATCTCTGCTATCCTGCCCATTCCATTCCCAAATGATCTCTGCTATCCTGCCCCTTCCATTCCCAAATGCTCGCTGCTGGCCCGTACCTGGAAGAACGGTGAATTCTTGTCGACATGGAAAGAGTCATCGTCGGAGATAGCCTCGGCCGGGATCGACGGCTAAAGATTTGGGATTTTGGATTGAGAGAGCGAGACAGGGAGAGAGAGACAGAGCGAGAGCGAGAGGGAGACGCACCTCCGCATCCACCTTCTTTTCAGGAGCGGCCGCCGCTGGCGGTGGCGGGTCGTCAAAAGAGTCGCGGAGGGGCAAGAATTTGCCTGAGCTTCCGGGCTCCTGGACTGGGTGCACGTCGATGGCCGCAGCCGGCTGCTCGTTAACCACGGAGGGCTGCTGCTCGGCGGAATGCGGCTAAAATAAGCGTTAATATGCGTCTCCCTCCCTCCCTCCCTCTTTCTCTCTCTGTCGTCTCTCTCTCTGTCTGTCTTTCTCTCTGTCACCTTTTCATCGACCTTCGTCCCCTCGACAACCTCCGGTCGCTCATCGGCGATGACGTCGGCCGGGACGTTGAACTGCTCCTGCAAGTCGGCTTTTAAGGGGACTGGGACACGTGAGGATCGACCCATTCCGACGACTAGGTCGAGACAGCTACGAGAGAGTGCGCGGTTTTTCGCCCCTGGATCATTAACGCACTAAATTACCGTACCTTCTGCTCAAATCCATCGTCGCCCTGGTCCTCCTCGTTCAGGTCGGTGAAGCGGGCCGGCTGCTCGTCGGCGTCGATGCGCTTCGCTTCGGCGGCGTCGGGCACGATGGCCGGCTGTGGGGGCTGTAAAAAACGAGTTTATTCTCTCTCTCTCTCCCCCTCTGTCTCACTCTCGCTCTCTCTCTCTCTCTCGCTCTCTCTCTCTCCCTCTCAAAAATGGGTCAGTTGCATAATCCAGCTTATCCCCCTCCCCTCCCTCCAAAAGCTCCAAACTACATGCCCAAACTCTAAACTACAACGAATTGGCCGTTCATGGGAGCGGCTCGGAACTTTCTAAAAAAATTTTTTTTGCGGTTTTTTTGGTTACTGTAGTGCCTACAGTGTAGTCCAGTTTCCAGAAAAATTCAAACAACTATTTATTCCGATGGCCCAAAAAATGGAAACTAAGGGATTTTTGTAAATAAATTATTTGTGTACAGGTGGAGCACGCGGGCTAGGCCGACTCCTAAATCTGTAAATGCTGGAGGGCTAAATTATTGTGGGTTAGAGCAAACCCAAATCAAATTCTACTACGCAAAATGTATTCCCCGCGTTTGTATCCCCTTAAAGATGCCCGGACTACCGTAACTGGCCGTCGATTTTTGCTTTAATTACGGTACCTTGTTCTCCTGGATCCAGTTGTGGTACCACGGCATCTGGGCGGCGTCGGCTGGTTGCGCCTGGTCGGGCATCTGAAAGTCCACGGTTAGCCGGAGAAAAAGCGATGGAGAGAGAGAGAGAGAGAGAGAGAGAGAGAGAGAGAGAGAGAGATAGTGAGTGAGAGCGAGAGAGAGAAATATGGCTCTCACCTGCGGCTGGGGCATCTGCGGTTGCTGCCACTGGTTCTGCCACTGCTCCCAGGCGTTCATCGGTTGCTGCGGCTGCTGCTAAAAATGCACTCATTAAAGCCGTTTCCCCAAGAATCCCTGCTAGCCTGCCCTGGGTACCAAGGGTGGGCTGGACTTCTAATAAGACAACTCTCCTTTAAAGGGACTGGCAAGGAGGTTGTTATTGATTGTGGAGTCCTCATTTATCTTTCTCTCTCTCCCTCTCGCTCCCTCTCTCTGTCTCTCTCTCTCTTTCTCTCACTCTCTCACACTCTCTCTCCCTCTCCCTCTCACTCTCTACCTCCCTGCAATTTTTCGCAAAATCCGTAGCCTTGCCATCCCTTTCCCTTTAAAACCAGTTACGCGCGACTCCAACTTACCGGCTGTTGTTGCTGCTGTTGTTGCTGGAACCACTGTGGTTGTTGCGGCTGCTGCCCAAAGCCCTGGGCTCGCTCCCAGTTGAGGCCAAAGTTTGTCCCGAAATTCTGGCCAAATTCGGCGGCGAAGCGCTGCTGCTGCTGGGTGGGTTGCTGAAAGAAAAGTATCTGGTTCTGTATCGCCCTCTCTCGCTCTCTCTCTCTCTCTCTCTCTCTCTCTCTCTCTCTCTCTCTCTTTCTATCTCTCTCTCTCTTACTCTCCTGCTCTCTCTTACTCTCTCTTACTCTCCTGCTCTCTCTTTCTCTCACCTGCATCATCGGTTGTCCCATCCACGGCTGCGGCTGACCTCCCATCATCGGCTGCGCAAAGTCGGACGACTGCTGCAAAAAAATTATTTTAAAGGTACCGAGAAGCCCGAAAGTCCACCCCTCGATGCCATTAGGTCTAGACGGCTACGTGGCACGCCAATAACTGTAACAGTATCTAATTTTTGCCCGAACGACGAGGCGTATTGCATCAACCAAGATACTATCGCCTGTACGTAGTTGTCTAGACCTAACCAATCTAAGGGGTCGAATCAGAGACTGCTTAGACTCTTTAAAGGGGCCATGAAAGTCCCTGTAAATCTGCAGATTTCTTACCTGCATCATCTCAGGCCGGCGCGCATTCATGAAGCTCTTGACAAACTGAAAAGGTTTTATAAGCCAGATTTTTGGGGAATGAAGCGCCTGCAAAGGCTCAAAATCGACCCCGCATCGGCTAGGTCTAGACAACGATTCGAAACGGCAAAGCATGTGTTACCCCCCATTTTAGGGCCACGAATGTCTGGCATTTTGAAAAAATTTCGATTAACGGTGGCGTTGCCGTCTAGACCTAGTCGATAGCAGGGGGTCGACTGTGGTACTTTTGAGACCCTTTAAAATACGGGATTCCTGAAACAGACCTCGGAGGCGTCATCTCCATAGAGTTCGGTGACGATTCGTCCGGGCATCATTGGGTTTTCCTGGAAAACAATGCTTCAAACGCATGGGCAGGCTAGCGGAGGATTTTGAGGAAGTGAGGGCCTGCGGGTTCCTTTAAAATCGGTTTTCTTGCTATCGAGTAGTCTGGTAGTGAGCCTTGGGGAAATCAAGACTTGCGGGCGTCTTAAAGGTCCGAATTTAACAGGATGAAGCCAGCAGAGAACCTTTGGGAATTTCTAGGTTTCCAGCCCCTTTAAAACCAATGTTCCACCCTAGGATAGCAGAAATCTGTGAGGAATCTGATGCTCCCTGTCTGGATAAAACGCAAATTCATACCTTGTCGAAGTGATGCGTGATTCGGAGCTGTGGGCGCTCGGGGGCGTCGGCCTGGCCGTCGTCGTTGAACATCCAAGGGTGGCCTTCGCCGGAATTCTGGAAAAATTACAGCTGCTCTGCTTATCTAGATCATCTCTCTCTCTCTCTCTCTCTCTCCTTCTCGCTTTCTCGTTCTCTCTCGCTCTCTCTCCCTACTCTCCCGCTATCTACCTCAACCTGTTGCTGTTGTTGTTGTTGCGGGAATCGATCACGCCACGAGAAGCGATCGAACTGGCGGCTAAAAAGTGATCATCTGGCTACTGTAGCGGCTACCGTACCCCTCTGACGGCTCCTGCCAGTCGCCATTTCCAAATGGTGACGGTGCGGCCCATTCGCCGAATCCGTCCGCCATATTTTGGGGCATCTAAAGCAGCGTTAGAAAAAATATCTTTATCGCTCTCTCGCTCTTTCTCTCGCTCTATCCCTCTCACCCTCACTCGGCCTCTCCCTCAATCTCTCTATCTCTCTCACTATCTCTCTTTCTTTCTTTCTATCTCTCTCTCACTCTCACCTCTTCCAGATCGTCCTCGGTCTCCCCAATCAGCGGCTGCTTCTTGATCTCCAACACCGACACCTAAAACCAAATGTTACGTCAATTTTCCCTCAGAATCTCTGCTAGCCTGCCCCCCCAAAAGCGCTCGTTTCGCCAATGAACAATGCTAGCCTGCTCCTTACATGTACGGGTCCCGGCAGGGCTCCATCAGTCGCGGCGGCCTTCAGCTTCTGGAGGATCGCTTTGAGGAAGGCGAGGCGCATGTCCTGAACAGATTTTGTGTTTAAAGGGACGCGCAAGTGTAAGAATCGGCTCGTTGCATGGACTAAGTCTAGACAGCTACGCGACACGCCAAATCACGCATTACTGCTTCGTGTTTTGGCGTGTTGTGTAGCTGTCTGGACCTAGTCGATGAAAAGGGTCGATTTTCGTATTTATAAATCTCATTAAAGGCAAGGGAAAAGCAGCTTCCGGCTCAAAACTTACTCCATCAACTTCCTTCGAAGATTCTATCGAGTTGTCGACCTGGTGAAGGGGTTGCTGACTGAAAACCGAACGAATTCTTGATATTTTGCGCTCTCTCTCTCTCTCTCTCTCTCTCTCTCTCTGGCTCTCCTTCTTTCTCTAACTTACTCGTGCCCATTCTCCAGCCGCTTCGAGAAAGCCAGACGCTCGTCGATGACCTCGGGCGGTTGGTCGTTGCTCAGCCCCTGAAATGGACGGTAGGCTAGCAGAGATCATTTGGAAATGGAAGGGGCAGGCTAGCAGAGATTATTTGAGAAAACTTGTACCAACCTGAGCCGATTTTTGTGCAGCCGCAAATGCGGCCTGCTGTGCCTGAAGCTGCGACTCCCTCAACAAGTCCAGCCCGATCATGCGCTGCTTCAGCTCGGCCCACTTCAGACGCAGAAATTGGTCGTCGCGATGCCGAGCGTACGCCAATTCTGACAGCACGACGGCGGCTAGCAGCACGCAGAACACGACGGCGATGCATGCGAGGCAACCCTGAGGATCACGGGGTTAAAAAAGCTCTATATCTCTCTCGCTCTCTCTCGCTCTCTCACTCTCTCTCTATCCCTACCAACCTTAAATGGACTCCTTCTGCACTTCTTCTGCGTGGCCACCGGCAGCTGTGCGGCCGGCTTCAGCGGCGGCTCCGAGCAGCTGCTCGACGCCAGCGAGCCGGTTTCAAGCTGAAAATTTTTGGTATTAATGCTCTAAATCTTATCATGCTTTACTAAATTAAATTAAATTAAATTAGATAATTAATAAATACATCTATCCTTCAAAACTCAACAATTGCGGCGCTCACCTTTTCATCGAGGCTCTTGGCCTTCTCCTTGTCGTCGAGGCCCACGGTGAACACCTTCATCCGCGGTTGATGCACCTGGAAATTTTAATTTAATATTTATATATAATAATGTGATTTTAAACATAATACAACAATTTAAGTATTCTTTAAATGAATATTGAGAGCTCTTATATACATTTTCGTGAGAAAAACGCGTTCTAAAGGGATGATGACATCTAGGAGAAGCAAGCTGTGATGGCAAGCTAGCAGGGATCTTTGTGGAGTTACTTGGACAACCCGGGCAGGCTAGTAGAGATCTTTGAGGGTGTTCGGGTGGAAAGTGACTGGCTGACGCATAAACGATGCCCTGTGGTCAGAAACACCGGCAAAACATCAGCGAGTGAGGGAAAGGAAAACAATGGAATGATCGCATTAACCGATTCCGTGGAGAAACCGTATGACCGGGCGAGCGAGAGAGAAGGAGAGAGAGAGAGAGAGGGAGAGGGAGAGAGGGAGAGAGCAGCCTAGCAGAGACCCATTATAAATCGTAGAATTCAAGCCGAAACCAGCGAGAAACCTAAGGGAAGTGAGCCGAGACCATTTGGGAATGGAAGGGGCAGGCTAGCAGAGATCATTTGGGAATGGAAGGGGCAGGCTAGCAGAGATCATTTGGGAATGGAAGGGGCAGGCTAGCAGAGATCATTTGGGAATGGAAGGGGCAGGCTAGCAGAGATCATTTGGGAATGGAAGGGGCAGGCTAGCAGAGATCATTTGGGAATGGAAGGGGCAGGCTAGCCTCCTTGGCTTCAACGACCCTTTAAAACACAATTTTTTTTGAGAATCCGCTGAAAATTACGGTACGAGTGCCAGCGCTGACCCCCCGGTGGTCCCGCGCCGAATAAAATGAAGGTTAAGGCGAGTGTGAGAAAGAGAGAGAGAGCGAGCGAGAGAGAGAGACGCACGTCAGGAGCATCCGAATCTACTTATGGGAACTGGTTGGGGGCGAATGGGGCGCGCTCCCGACAAGGTCAACCCCTCATTTTTGCCGCCCCGTACGATACAATACTATCGACACAAGCCGAAGGGGTCGGGATTTTTGGGTTTGAAGGGTCGGGAAGATAGAAAAAAATGAAACGGGAATTTTACAGCGGAAAACGCCAGATTTTACGAGTTACTGGTTCCTGAAAGGTACATGGAAACAGGAGAATCAACCCCCTTCCATCGACTAGGTCTAGACAACTACGCACTAGCAGAGAACACGCATTTGGCGCTTAGGCTTGGACTTAGGCTTGGGCTGGGACTTAGGCATAGACTTAGGCATGGGCTTAAACGTGAGATAGGCCTCGGTTAGGTTTAAGCTTAGGCTTTTAGGAGGGAGGCCAGAGAAGAATTCTAGCACTTACTAGCTAAGCTAATCCTAGCACCTTTAAAATCACAATTACCTCCCTCTTCGGGCTCCCAAAATTCAGCAGCATGTATTTCATCGAATATCCCGAGCCCAGGACGTGGATTTTGATGGATAGATCGGGGGTGAGGTTGGCCCGGTCAATATTCGCGAATTTCCAAAAATTGAGGGCCCCCAGCTGGAGGTTGGGCAGATTGGAAAAGTCACTCAATGTATCTATACAGCGCTGTTGAGGGGGTGGCCGGCTGTTCCGCGGCGATACTATGGACTGGCGGGTTTTGAAGGGAGTGGAAAGTTGGGGGAAAATTACAAAGGCTATCTGCTAGCCTGCCCCTTCCATTCCCAAATGATCTCTGCTAGCCTGCCCCTTACATTCCCAAATGATCTCTGCTAGCCTGCCCCTTCCATTCCCAAATGATCTCTGCTAGCCTGCCCCTTCCATTCCCAAATGATCTCTGCTAGCCTGCCCCTTCCATTCCCAAATGATCTCTGCTAGCCTGCCCCTTCCATTCCCAAATGATCTCTGCTAGCCTGCCCCTTCCATTCCCAAATGATCTCTGCTAGCCTGCCCCTTCCATTCCCAAATGATCTCTGCTAGCCTGCCCCTTCCATTCCCAAATGATCTCTGCTAGCCTGCCCCTTCCATTCCCAAATGATCTCTGCTAGCCTGCCCCTTCCATTCCCAAATGATCTCTGCTAGCCTGCTCCTTCCATTCCCAAATGATTTCTGCTAGCCTGCCCGGTCCCTTTAATCCCCCAAAACATCCACCTCCACCTTCCCCCCAACGCTGACCGTTGCCAGAGGTATACGTCGTACACCCTGGGAACGGTCCGGTAAGAACAGGCAATTTTGGCGTCGCACACCAAAAAATCCGCTCCCCCGATTCGTACGGTAATTTTGGGTATGCACGTCTGCCTCTCTCTCTCTGCGTGGCTGTATGCATGCGAAAGTGGACAGAAACACAAACAGGTGGAAACCGGAATCCTGACAGCCAATCCCCCACCACACCCTACCTACGCCCCGTTCGCCCAATCTGCACACCGGGTTTTTGCTTTTTTGACAAAAGTAATGCAACGGAAAACGTTTCGGGAAGGGAAGGGGCAACCAGCAGAGAGAGCTTGAGAATAGAAAAGGCAGGATAGCAGAGATAGTTTGAGGAAAATGGGAAATCGAAATTTGTCCGAGGGTGTGAAAGACCGGATGTGCGAGCTCAACTGCTGATTTTGCGCGATCGCGTGCGCCGAGGAGAGAGAGAGAGCGAGATAGAGAGAGAGAAAGAGAGAGAGAGAGAGAGAGCGAGAAAGAGAGACGGGCCCTCGGGGCACACGGCAACCGGCGCGCGTCGAGTGCGCGGGCGCTCCGCGCGCCCGATTTCTGCTCTCCGCGCCGCATCCGCATCTATTTCGGGGGGCGTTTCGGAAATTTTTCCATGATAGGGGTGATAGAAAACTGAGAGAGAGAGAGAGAGAGAGCGAGAGAGCAAGGAAGAGCGAGAGATATATGGCGAAACTCCGAAATTCGTTGCTTTAAAGGACCACTAGAGCGAAAAATCTGTAAAAATGCGCTCCAAAAAATCTGTTGGCGTCGCGATTCGATGCTAAAGGACCATTGAAGCCAAATCTGAATAGAAACCCCTAAAAAAGGCAGAAAACCTTCGTTTGAAAGAGCTATTGAAGCCAAAGCAAGCCATGAAAAATGACAAAATACTGTCCAGGAAGAAAAGGACCTCTAAAGGGGCCAGTAAAGACAAAGTCGAGCTACAGTAACCCCCAAAAGTCGACACCGCCCCACCAAAATGCCATGCTATTTTGGCGGCGGTGCCACCCCCCTGGATAGAAGTGGCTCCCCAGGGGGGTGGGGGGATGTTTGGGAAGTGGTGGTCGAGTGGGTCTGGATGGGTGGACGTGGACCAGTCTTCTTCTTCTTCTCCACCCTCCCTCCTCTTTTTCCCCCTTTTCCATTCGACACCACCCGTCCACGCGGACGGTCCCGGAATCCGGGACGCCAAAAAGGGGCCCGCCACGGCGCGCCGTGCCGGGACTCACTTTTTGGGGAGGTGACACACGCACAACACATCGGCATAACACTCGATTTTTTTTGGGAGAAGTGGGACTGTCGGTCTCTATCGCGCTACGGTCTCTCCCTCTCTCTCTCTCGCTCTCTCGCTTTTCTAGCCGCGATACCAAATGACCGCCTAAGGAATCTCTGCTAGCCTGTCAGGCCAGCAGGGATTTTTGGGAACAGTGAAGAGTAGAAGCAAGAAAGAGAGAGAGCGAGAGAGAGGGGGGAGAGAGAGAGGGGAAAGAGAGCGAGAGCGAGAGAGAGAGAGAGAGAACGGGAGAGCGGGCGTAAGAATCTACGAATTTCCCATTCCTGGTCCCTTTAAAACGTCACAATTCCGAAACGATCACCAAAGCGTACGCAGGTGACGTAAAACAACGGGACCCGTCAGGATCCGGAGCGCGCGGCTTACCCAGGATGACACATCGCTCTCCCTCTCTTGTCCGCTCTCTCTCTCTTGTTTCTCTCACTCTCTCGCTCTCTCTCCCTCTCTCTCTCTCGCTCTACAGACACACTAAGGTGACGTCCCATACAAATATGTATGCGGAGGAAGCGAAAACAATCAAAAACCCGAGGCAGGTGTAAACCGGAATTTGCAGTGACTCGGAGATTTGTCTAATGACTCTTGCTAGCGTTTTTGAAGCGACGTGTGGCTGTCTAGACCTAGTGGATCGAAAACGTCAATTCTCACGCTTTATGAAGCCCCTTTAAAAACTTTTAGGAATTTCCGAAAAATCGATGAATCTTAGCAAAAAGCAGCGATTAGTGGGGTTCAAACGTCCCTGCTAGCGTCTTTTGATCCCACGGGTAGCTGTCTAGACCTAGCCGCCAGATTGGGTAGATTTTCGCGCTTCCTGGTTTCCTTAGAAAAATTCCTAGCATCCTGGGTTACGGTAAAAAGGCAGATCGGGCTTTTCCGCAACGAGCCCTTGTCGCGCCAACATGTCTACACCGCACGCGGACACCCTGTCCGGAGCGGAGTGTCACGTACACCCAGCCCGCGGCACCCCGCCGCGCCACTTTTCGCGGGGCGCCACACTTTTTGCGCGCTTCAAGGGCCGCGGAAGGCAGTGAAAAGGAGTATGGTCCAAAATCCATCGGCGTAAAATTGAAATCGCGAAAAAAGTGAAAATCCGATCCAGGCCTTATTTTAAAGGGGGCGTGACAGACAGCTTTCGGGTCGGCTAGCAGAGATCGTTGGGGAATTACGAGGAGCTATACAGAATTTTTGTGGTTTTAGAGGGAGAGTGACATCGAGGCTAGCAGCTAGCAGAGATCCTTGAGGAATTTAGGTTTTTAGTGGAGAAGACAGGAAAATTAAGGGCCAGCTAGCAGAGTTTTTTAAGAATATTTTGTGCCTTTTAAAGGGAAGGCGACAAGAAGAATCTCCAGGCAAGCTAGCAGAGATCCTTGATGAATTTCGGGGGTTTATTGGCGAAGACAGCAAAATCATGGATAAGCTATCAAATATTTTTGTGCATTTTAAAGGGAAGGTGAGAAGAAGAATCTCCAGGCAAGCTAGTAGAGAATTTTGAGAAGTTCCGGGGAATCATGTCAAACTCGTCGGTCTTAAAAGGGGCGTGACATCGATGTCAGCACCTAGCAGCGATCGTT